TCATAAACTCTTTTGTCCTCATCAGGTAGATCGAGTGTGGTGTAGGTAACCCCTTCCACTCAGGTGAGCTATTCCCCAACGGCTCTCCATTGTAGCCTAGAAGACGGGATGTGACTAGTAGGGAATTGATTAACGATAGAACAAAGGTGCTCAAAATGATGTTATAAATAGTTTTATCATGTGTAACATAATTTGAAACATTTATAGAGATTCCCAAATCACAATCATGAGGTAATTGCAAATTCCCCATGGAACATTTGTAAACAATTACAAGACTGCAATGTCCATACATTAATTCAAATCATACCTTTGGAGTAGAGTTGCAATTTATGCATAATCAGCGGATTGTTAATAGTGACACAAATTTTCTTGCAATAAATCCTATTATTGTTCAAGAACGAAAGGACTATCGACAAGATTTTTTTTGCTTTGAGTTCAATAATTTGAATCCTGTCACCTCAATCAATTTCTATCCTGAAGTTGAATATTTAGAATAAAAAATATAGTACTTGTCTTGAACATGTCCTTGGTTAAGGATAAGATTGTACACTTTGATTACCTTGATAGAGACTAATTCACTGCAACCTGTCAGCCTGCCTGCGTGGTTGCTAGGAAGATGCGAGTAATGACGATTTCCCCTTGGCAACGAGCCTCAGCTCCAAGACCTGTGATGACTCACAAAGACTAGGGGGTCCTAACGCAAGTTGGAAACATCAATTACGTTGCGTTGTCATGGACATGGCTCCTAGAATAGCTTGTCAGACCGGGTCTCTCCCTCCGCGGCAATGGTTCAACAGCAGCGAGTCCTGTTAATCGCTGATCCTTTGTCATTATCCCTTCCAGTAGCTGCACAGTAGCTGGCTACGTCTGAAGTTAAAGAGGTTCCCTCACTCTCTACCTAGCGGTTATCACAGTCCCAAACGGGAAGTGATACGTACTGTGCACACAGACGGGGATCGGTCCAACAATAAACTCACATCTTTCTATTCTTAACTTCTTTAAAGTTCATCGGACAACTGTACATGTTGTGGAATAACAACAATCTGGATTTTACTGTTTATGTCTCATCATTTCAATACTCGGGTTTGAAGACGAGAAATACATGCCTTTGAAGGAATATTGCCCAACCTTCTCTGAGGCTGTTTGTGATTAAATCTTCAGATCCTCCTCGTGCTACCATCGTGTTGTTGTTTACGTCGATTTGTTTTGGATACATGGGATATCTGACCATGTGCAGGAGTGATATTCCTTACAAGGAGTGTCAGCAGGCCCTCAAATTTTCATCTTCATGATCAGTAAGTTTAATAGAGAGTTACGTTGTACTTAGAAAACAATCTTGAAGAAGTCTTCAACTATATTATTGTTACTGATCAAAACTAATTAAATGATTCTCTTTTCGCTCATTGAGCCTTGTATACATTCAGTTTCATATGGAATTGTAAGATGTAAGTGGACAATTCCTTGAATTAGATAGATTAAAAAATGTCACAAAGGGATCTATGGATATACTGAACATTTGAAAATGTATAGAATTTCTTAAATGAAACAATGGACATTTTTAAGGTATAAGTCTGCTTTTTATACCTTGAAAGTATTATTCCCTATATCTTACAACACAATTTATGCGAAATTTGACCACTACAGATTTGTTTTGTCTATCATTTAGGAAATGAATGTTAGACTAAAGGTAAAGAGCTACTTACATCAAGTATATCTCTGTCAATCATAACAAAACATGAGGGACCATTGTTTCAGGAAATGAAGATAAATGAAGCAATTAATCCTCTTCAATTATTTTACTACTAACAATGTACATGTACATGTTCATACAGGAAGTACCTGTATGAAAGGGATAGCATGACGAAAAACAATTGTCAGGGGTTGATGACAGTTGCCAGCTGTTTGAGACCCTCTCCTCTATCTTCTTCCACCCTACATGCCCCATGAATATGTCTGTTCCATAGAACAGAGGATTATTCTGCTTCTAGAGTTGTTATACCCTGTGTCTGAGGCTGTGATTGGATATTGTTTTATTTTAATATTAAAATGAGTTGTAAAAATTAAATTCCCAAGGTAATGATCATATTGGCTTCTTGTATACTGCTCATATCCACTTTACATAGCCATTTAGGTGCACATTGGCTTGATCTCATCTATCGATTATGTGCCCATACTTTAATATGATAACTTGTATCCTAATGTGTATAGGAACAAATCCTTGCCACGCATGCAAGAACTAAGCTATTTTGGTTGAAGTATAGAGTCCCCGAATAAATATCTATGCCTGTCTGTCATATTTCACACAATGCTTGTCAATCCTGCATACTTCATAAAATGCCCTTGTAAGCTATTGATAGTCTCTATTCCTGACTTCCTTTCACTCAATACATGGGGGCTCGAGGCTAAGTAGCCCCCGAAATGCCAAAAGAACCCCGAAAGTCATAAAAGAGCCCCCAAATATTTGCTTGAAGTTCAATGCAAAACAAAATAAAGAGTGTTATTTTTATGCAAGCAAGTTTGAAAAGTAGCCCAAAAAATCTTTTAAATACTTTTTTCCCTGCTAGTATAGCTTGCACTAAACTTTCTTTATTTGTGTTAATTCATCATAGCCAAAGGTCTCATCTCTAGACTAGTAAGGAGTAGACATGGCACCATTCAGCAGTGAAACAATTAGATTTAATATCTTGAGCACAATGTGTGAAGCACATTGTAGTCAGTATTGAGTAAATTAGCCAGGGTAGTTCGCACAGGAAATTTAATCCCTAGATAGCACCGTAGAGTTATGATGAACCCAATTAGTATTCAGTCATTGCCGGGTGACCTGGTACTTCACGCTCAACCGCCCCTCTCTTCTTTACCCCCTCCCTTCCTGTCCCAGTAGAGTAAGAAGAAGTTTGAAATGCATCTTGTGTTTCAGAACAGAATTGTACAAAGCATTTGGGTATTTTCTTTTCAATTACTGTTAAAGTTTTACTTGCTTAGACTTGATCAGAGTTATTTCTGGCACTGCTTTGTAAGAGGTTAAAGAAATCAAATGATACCTTTCAATAATTGTTGGGATGTACTACGTATATGTAGATCTTACATACTTAAATAATAAATTAGAGACCTAACTTTATATTATTGTTGGTATTCCTTTAAAATTATTACTTTCTAAGTCATAAGACATTATATGGCAATTGGTTACCTTATTAAAGATCTGTAATGTAATACCATAAAAAGATGCATAATCTCGACCCAAATTATTGACAATCTTTCAGCCTTTGTACACTGCTTGACCATCATTGAGACGTTTCTTGTATTTAAAGGTATGATGTACAAAAAACTAACTTTTATTTAGTAAAATGTCATATAAAGCTTAATGGTAAAGACCAGTATTGGAAACGCCCCAATTTCAAAAAATGAAATGGAAGCTCTTATTACCAATCATGTGAAAGAATATGTTTTGACTAATATCTGATGATAAAATATTTGCCGGGAAACCGCCTACTAATTGATATATTTGGTAAATTAGTTTATCTACATGGTCTGTGAGAGATAAACGCACGTGTCGCGCACGTGTGTGTATAGTCCCATATACATCTTTCTGTGTACAGTGCTTGTAACTTTACGAAGACTGGGCCATATATAATCATTTTGATGATTTCAGAACCTTGCAGTACACACCAATACTTATATGCTAGATGATCAACCTTTTCTGATCGATTCCACAACGTTTCTTTCACAATGCAATCGCATGACCATAACTGGTCTTTACCTTTAACAAGTTGCCTAAAAACATCCATTGCACCCCTTTCCTTAATTTACTTCAACTTCACATCTTCTCGAAGTAACCCATGCAGATGTACAGTTGACACACTGGCATGCTGTGTTGAGCATTTATAAGGTTCTGTCTAAGAGGGATGTGCTAACTGTATTCATGTGATTTATGTTAGAGTATGGTCTTCACAGGAAATATGACTTTACAATTGGTAAATGATTGAGAATTGGAGCTAATTATTTCACCGTAGGAGGCCAATCACAGTTATTACTTACTGAACGTGTCTTGATTAGGTTCATCAGCACGTACTTTGTAATGGGAATCATATTTCTTTCAGTAAGCCTGATTAATCATGAGAACTTGATACAGCTACATTGACCTTGTATTACGGTAAATAAAAAGTTTGTATTTCCGAGGTATTGCTCAGTCACTACATATTTTTAGGTTTCTTAGAGTATTTCCCATACACTTTGCTGCATTATTACTGGAATACAAGAACTGAAATATGAAACTCATTACACTGGATAATTATGAATAAACATTTGTCTGTGCCATAGGCTGAAAAGCCATTTATAAAATGTCAAACCCATAAACTTGCCTTTACGGCCAAAATGAGAATGTTCCAAACTTCTAACATGCTATGCAGAGAGTAAATAATGTGCCAATATGTTTTAGTGTTGAAACCTGCCAACCTGCTGCAATTAATGAGATATGATTGTATTTCTTTCAATTGAATTCTGTTAGTGAAATTAAAATTGTTTCTGTATGACTCGTGTTGATATGATAGGACTTTAATTTACTAGTTTTTGTCTGTGTGATTAGTAATAAATTATCTAATAATGTTGTGTTACTTGTATTCACTATTCAGTATTTTCTTCTCATTATTACATTTCTTCAGTTTAGTTTGTATGCACTAATTTCTTCTGATTTATTTGTATTCATTATTTATTTATTTATATATATATATATATATATATATATATATATATATATTTGTTGTTGTTGTTGGCAGGGGGGGGTGGTGTAATTGCATAAATGATGCTTATTGATTACTACTACAAACATGAAGAATAATTGTATGATAAATACATTTTGAATCTGAAATCATAATGCAAAATATCACAGTTTTATTTGCAACTTTTAAAATAAGTAGTTTTTTCTGTTTGATTTATATTTAGTAATTTTGTCTATGTTTGATTTGTATTCATTATTTTGTGTAACTTTTATTTTATTTTTCTAGGCCTTGTTGATTGATACAGTGTGCTTAAATCTTGAGACAAAATGCATCCAATGGACCAACTGTAATATCACAGAGTGTAAAGAGAGGAGACAGAGTCATACACCTTATCACCCATGTAAACATTCTCATGAATGTAAGTATCATATTTATTTATTTATTTATTCATTTATTTCTAATCTTTTGTCAGGGTAGCCCATTCACCAATAAGTAGTGGTCTTCCAAGGGGCCCTGAATAAATATGAACATACCGTATTTACATCAAAAAGCATAACGTTTATACAGAACAGTTAAAATAAAATTCCATATCATTTATTGAGAGCCGCAAAGACATTTGCATATACTGTTGTACAGAGTTAACATCATTCTGAATAAAAAAATTCTTTGGAAAACAAAACAAAAACAACAACATCATTCTGGCTCTAAACATGTAAATATATTTTAAGGATTTGAAGGTACACGTTACCATCTCAAATCTCACAATGAAAGTGCTTGGAATAGGCTATAAACCTCCCCTATGCTTAAAAAGTGATGCAGATTAACAGTCCTTGAGTTAAAAGCAAAAGTAATCTTGAATTTTGTGAAAGCATATATGAAATGAAACAACCAAAATGGCAGTACTTATGTATATAGTTTGTATTCTGTAAAAGAGATGTTTGTTTTTCATGCCATTTGATAGACTTTGGGTTTATTTGCTACTCATATTAGTGTGGTCTGGAAAAATAAATTTAAAAATATTGTGAGAAAGGTGTTTATTCAAAACCCTTTGAAAACAATATGCACATTGTGGAAAACAAGTACAATATATTAGTAAATATTAAAGCTCTTTGTCTTAATCACTGAAAAAAAAAAACAATTGGAGCAAATCCCTTTGACACCTTACATACTGTGTAGCCTTAGTCTGGCTCATTACATAGGAACAAACCACCAGATCCTCTATTTCATTTGCCAATTAAGTCTTTAATCTCATCATGATGATTGACGATGGTAGGTTCTTTCTTTGATTAAAACTAATTACCTACCGCCCATAGCCGGTGTTGTAAGATGGTGGATGTACAGTAAGCTGGGTTCTCACTTCTCCCTATAGCTAATTAAGTTCAAGAAAAGGAAGTTCCAGAATATAAACTTGTTTTAGAAGACATTCAATTCGATCAGAGTGCTCCTGTTGATATCTCAGTGAAAGTATTAATTTTCCTGGGGACTGTTTAAAGATAAATTATTGTAGAATGAAGACAAAATTCAGGAAATTTGATCAAGAATTATGTATTTAAACCTTTTTATTCCAGGTCAGCGTTTATTCTATGGATATACTACTGTCTAACACTGCCATTAGTATATCCATGTCTATACTATTTAGCAATTTAAATCTCAGCTATGTCAATGTAAATAGCTATTCTTTGGTTTGGCATATTGCAACTTGTTGTAGATCAATAGGAATCACAATTTTTTTGCATTTATCTTTCAGGGGAAATATAGATACTGTAACTATAAATTGTAGAATGTGAGAAAAGTTGGTGTTCGCAAGCGTGCTTAGAATGATGCAAGAAACATGAACTTAATCGCTAGTGTAGAATCTATCACTGCGGTCTCAAAGAATTTGATTAGTATAGTGGGAGTGGTTTCTTAGTAGAAGTCATTGCTTTGGTACTTTGGTGGTTGGACACAAACCAATATTGATAAATGTGTGATGTGACAGAAATTAGTAGGGTAATTGATCAAAGTGACCACCAACACTCCAAATAATTAAGGGTTTACTTTCTGATTTTTTAAGGCTGACCTTAATCATTAAATGATGCTTATCAGAGCAATTAAATTAGCACTATTTGCATCATCTATTTGGCAACCTTTTAGTATCCAATTCTTTGTTGGGGTCTGACAGTTATAACTGGCATCCGCTATTTATGCTCAACTCGATTTGTGCTCTACTTTTCTTTGGAGCAGTATAAAAGGAGAGATTGAGAAATAAAATCTGGGGGGGGGGGGTATACAATGGTTCATAGACCCTAGAGTATAGAGTGAGAAACCTGTCCAAATAAGCATTGACAAAATGGACATGGGATTGTTCCATTTTCTGTGCTTTGCATCGTATCATTTGTCACAATATTGCTCAGTGTCACATGCTTCCTGTCTGGCTGACTTTCCTATAGATCTGGAGGCTGATAGTACACCTGTACAGGTCGACTTTATAGACCTCTCTCTATACCCTCTTCTCTATACCCATAAAGCTAATGTAGATAAAATGCATGATTAACTTTGTGCAGGTAGGCTAGGACCATGTTGCTTCAATAGAGATTCCTATGGACAAGTTGATTTTGGACCGGGTTCTTGATGAAGGATTGGAGATAACATGGGGTATGATATGTATGTTTTTAATTGATGTTTATAGACCAAGGCTTACCTAATAGCTCATACAGACTTGGTGAAATGGCTTCATTCATTGAGGGTAATGAGCACTATATGTGTAGTAGATGCATCAAGATTGTTTTTATTCTCAGGGTATTTGCACCAACAGAAGGTCAATGTGGCTACTTGATTTTTTGATAACTGGAGAGCATTTGAAGAGATTCTGGAGAGTGGAGATGGTTTTGATTTGGATTTTGGAGGCTTCTAGCTCGATCTTCTCTGTATCTTAATCACATAGAAAATACCTTGTTCTGTTATTTCCCATTGCAGGGTGTTTGCAAGGGTCAACACTCTTGCCAGACAGATGGACAGTTTTCAAGAGACTCTGAAGATTGGTGTTGTGCTGGAAGTTCCTTGAATCCTCATGCTTCTTGCTGTCTTTATCCAAAATAAAAGAGAATTAAGAGACAGTTCTGTTTTTCAATTTACAGGGTATTTGGAACAACAGAAGGACAACATGACTGCCGGGAGAGACCTTGAGAAAGGTCTAGAGATAGCCAGGAGTATCCTCAACGGAAGCAACGATAACGAGCATCAGAATGTGCTGCTTCTGCTTCATGTCTACATACTACCTATCATCAGACTTCATGCCAGTGATAGGAAACATGTCAGTTCAGCCTTGGTGGACCAGGTAAGAAACGCCTTCTGAGCTTGTTAGAAGATTAGTGGAAGATATCTGGGGGTGTTGCATAAAGACTAAGATCGACTTTAAGTTGGACTTAACTATGACAGTCCCTTTATGCCACTGTTTGCTCTCACCATTAACTGGCATTGGTCTCTCAAAGGACGTACAAATCATGGTCACAAATCTACAGAATTTACATTTTTTGATAATTCATTATTGAAGAAAAATATGATATCTAAAGATTATAATGGTGAGAACAAACAGTGGCATGAACGGCCTGTCATATAGTTAATTCCAACTTAGAGTCAATCTTAGTCTTTGTGAAACACCCCCAGGTTTCTGTTTATTTCAGTCTTGGTTTTATACTCAGACGCTATCTTTCATTTCTGTTATACAAAACCATTATATATAGTCACGAACCAGTCTAATACCATACACAAAGCAAGTATGAAAATGTATTAGCTTGTGATTTAATGTAAAGTGATCTAAGTAATATTTGTGTTTTGCTAATAAAGCTTCATATCCTTTTTGGCACTGATTATATAAACCTCAGTAAAAACATGTACCGGTATATATTTTTTTTACCACAAAAAGATTTAGCTGGAATAACTTTCTTTTGTCAAACTTGTATCCGGGAAGTGATCAAGGATGTGTTAGTGCAAGTTGATGTACATAAACTGTACTAAAGTGTGTTGACATCGATTTAGATGAACGACTACAGAGAATACAGACTTGGCTTTTCATAATATTATTATAATTATGCTACAGGTGGAATATATGTATTGTCAGTAGCCTCTGGTCATCCTATCCTAGTCATTGATGTACATATCAATGACAGATATGAAGACAGGTCAAGACTGCTATACAGTGTTAATTAACTTTAATTATCACCAGCTGGTTTGATCAAGTCTGTGTGTGAATCATATCTATATGAAGCTACGGGACAAGTCACGTGTAGAATCATATTGGCAGAGTAAATGCCCTTGCTGCCCAAACAAAGGATATTTTGTATTGTTGACTAATAAAGGGTTGCACACTTCATTGTCTATATGCCTTAATTAGAGATCAGTTTTATTCTATACATTATCATAATTAGTGTTTAAATCATATAGTAGAAATTAAAAAGATTTAGCTTTAAAAATGTGATAATAGTTGGTCAATTGTTTCTCTTGACAAGCTGTCATACTTTAGCAACATCCTGTATTATACATCTGAAGAAACTTTTGTCTATTGGAGCCAGAAGGATGTTATACTGCATGTAAAATTGCATGATTTAATATCTTTCAGGCTCCAAACAAGAGTTTAGTGATTTACATTTGTGATAGTTGGGTGAAATATCATTGAAGAATACTGCCTTTAAGCTTCATTGTAAGTATTTATTACAAAGTGAAGTTTAAAGAGGGGACGAATTGCCATGACCTAATGCTTGCATTATTTTAAGTAAAACTGCATTATTCTTACCTGGTTTAATCCCTCTAAAAACCCAGGGACATATGATGACTGATCTGGTGCCAAATCAATGTCAAAATATGATAAGTTTAGATTAATACTATTTTTAGTTTGTGTGAAAAGGGGGCTTCAAGGTTCATTTACAACTTTCATGAAAGAAATAGAACCTTTTTAAAAACAGTTTGATACCTTTAAAAAAAAACCTGTATAGGTGAGCTGTCATATAACATGCGGCCATATAACATGCGGTTTATATTGAAATTATGCAAACTGTACCGGTATAGAGATTGTTCAAGGAAACAAGATAAATAGTCATAGCCAGGTGGTCTTTATTTTATGAGTTCCTTTCATAGATGAATATCAAGAAACACTACTCAGAAATGAGATTTTTGTAATGGATAAGTGGTCTATATATAGAAGGTATGTTTATATGTACAGGTTCCGAAATACTAGTTTCAATCATTCAATGAGATACATTGTTCAACGAAAAAATGTTTGAAAAATTTAGTCTCTATATTCAGGAAGTTCTTTTTTTATTCAGGTTAAAACAGGTTTCACTATAATTGAATTGCTCTGAAGTACCTTCAATGTTTATTTCTTGCTTCTTTTTTTTTAAATACCAGATTCAAGTTCTTTCAGACCTGGATATTGCTATAGACAAGATGACAAATGAAAGACATGACATCAAAAAGACTATGAAGGACTGGAGACAAGATATCTGCAGTGAGCTGAAAGATGTAAGAACATTTGTTCCTTTTAATAATCAGGATCTATTGAATATATGGGTGAAGAGGTGATAGCAACATGGTCTAATTCCTTAGACTCTAAAACTATCACTAACTCTAAACCTAATCCTAAACATAACCTGAAACCCTGATACAGTCCTATCTCTGACTCTGGACTTTTGATGAAATGTAGCCTGTTGCAAATGCTCTGGAAAAAATATGTTGAATCACGGATGAAACAATTGCTCCATCAACATTAGCTGTTTTTCTTGTTAAAGCTAATTAAGAGCCTTAGTAATACTTCAAGTTAGTTTTAGGGTCAATGTTTGGGATTGTTAAGATGTTTTGTAAGTTCTGGAGTTACAGGGTTGAAGTTAGGAATTTGAAAAATATTTCCTTTGAGCATAATGTTATACAAACCCTCTAAGATATTAAGATTGATAGAGTTATCACTTTGAATGAAAACCTACTTCATGTATCCCATTTTTGTTTGTTTACTTTTGCTTATTTCTAATTTAAATCTATTCTTGACCAGAATAAAAATAGTCTATACCCATACTTTAATCTACTTTCACGTGAATGCTATTTATAGGTGTTATCACAGAATGATAGTAATCACGTCCCCTCAACTTTGGTGTACCGTTACCCCTGTATCCCCTACTGTGGTTATGGGCTGCTTAGCCGCAGCTAAAAGTACAGTTGGAACACGATCATCATCACTGTCAGGATATATATTCTCTACAAAATATATTCGATGCAATGCATAGCCCCTTTTTGTGAAGGACTATAGGGCTCGTCTACATTAGAGTTAATGTGACAAGTTTCAATTTGCAAGAAACAGTATTATGTCTATGTCGTAATGGTGATGTGAACATCCCCGCAGCTCAACAGTGAAGTAGAGCATGTTCACACTCGTAGAAAATGTAACTTGTATCAATCTACTAAGAATGGCATATAATGCTGTATTGATGGTTATGTGAACAGAGCTCTGCAATATAAGCTTCCAAACCCTCGCTGATCCTCTGACTATATACACCCAACTTTCTTAGAGAGTGTATTACTCAAAGTATAGACAAACAGAGAGAAAATAATTTACTCTGAAATATTAATTACTTAATCCTGATATGACCCCCTACTTCCTTTCCTATTAATTGGTGGGGCATGCATTCACTACCCATATAAGGATTCATTTTGACAGTATACAAAGTGGGATACATACATACATAGGATATGCAGCTGCTTTGTTGTTATCGTGTGTTTGAATTGCAAGTTTGACACTCACAATTGGGGATGTGAATTCTGCCTGTCACATGGGAAGCATTTGGAATGATTGATATTGGAATACACAATTTGGTTTACACTTTGGTTTATTGTATTGGTATGTAATCTAGACAAGTTTTTCCGTATTAAAAAAAAAGTTATATGCATTGGATAGTACCTTTTCACAAACTTTTTAGTAGAAGTCTTTCTTTTGACCTTTAATCTTTGTGTTTAAGGTTCAAGGTTTCCTTCAAATATTATTTACATAATACTATTTTGTCTTCAAAAGGGACACTTTTTTGGTGGGGGCGCCACACCCACCACTTAGAACATGCCAGATGGTCAATTTTTTTGTGGAGCTATGCGATCTTTACATTGGTTTCTCTCCCAGCTAGGTTCGACCCCCACTGGCTCCCGGTCTAGGACCCCCCAGGAAATGAAGGAGGGGTCTGAAAATTTGGACCCCATCATTTTTGGTCAATTGGGACCCTTTTGAAGCCAAAACAGCAAAAAAAAAAATCAACTTTGGCACAAAAATCCTACGGGACCTGTTTCAGTGACATACCGTACCACACTATAAAGGTATATAGGGCAGTTCCATAATGTTTGTGGCTCGCTTCACAAATGTACTTCATAAAAACACTCTTGCTGATGTGGGCCCCATCTTAGTAACAGTTGTGATTATCGTAACTTATTTGTGATTGGTATCAAAAGGGATAGGGGACTGCAAACTTGTGATTGATTGGAGGACTTGTGATTGATTTGGATCAGTTGAAACTCTTTATAAGACAGGGCCCACATACAGGTCTCTACTATAGGATATTAACATAACTTAACATTGTAGTTTTGTATATTACACACACACACAAAAAAAAAAAAAAAAAAAAAAAAAATCAGAAATAGACCTTGAATCAGCGTGACTGTAATAGTACTTTTTGTGGTTCAATAGGATATTAGTTCTTGTTTAGCCTCCCTTGAGTAGACACAAACAAATAGAGCATAAAATATATAGGCTGACTTTAGCAAAATAAAAACTGAAAACAGTAGGTCAGTATAATGTCTGCTGTTCAATATATTGGAGTGTATATTGGAGGAGTCATTGTGAAATTGGAATATATACTGTAGCTGCCTTTTAGATATTCTCTGATGAATTATGAAGGGATTCTAGTAGTGGCAAATATCAAAGTATCGAAGTAGATAATGTATTGCTGATGTGATCTCTCCTGCAGGAAAAGGCCATAGCAAACTGCAATGTACAATTCTTGAAGCTTTTGACCCAACATCTTCATGACGATCTCAGGAATGCTTATGTAGAGGTGAGTCATTTCTTTCTGTTTTTTAAAACAATAATCACTAATAGAAGTTAATTATTGTAGTGTTATTTTTATTTCTAAATATCAATTTCATTATTGCTTAATGAAAGATTTAAAAACTTCATGTTTTTATTTCTTTAATGACCATTGGCATAAACTGTTGCCTGTGAAATCTGGTAATTAAAGCCTGTGGCCAAAGTAAACAAATTCACTGGAAACAGTTCCATTTATTACAAGAAAAGATCATATAAAACCACAATAGTTTTGCTTCAATAAAGTTGTGATCTATTTTTGTATCACAACTTTATCAAACATAATATGAACCAACAACATAAAAGTAAAAGAGAAACGGAGGGATAGTGAAAGATGGATAGAAGGATAAAAAATAAAGAGAAGAGGAGAAATTAAGAGAGGGAAAGAAGAGAAAAGATAGAGAGAGAAGAAAATGTAAAGAGGGGGAAGAAAATAAAGAGGGAGAGAAGGGAAGAAGAGAAAAGAGAAATAAAGGGAAAGGAAGAGAGAAAGACAGAATAATATAGTATGTGTTAGAGAGAAAGAGAGAGAGAGAGGGACAGAAAGAGAGAGAAAGAGAGAGAGAGGGAGAGAAAGAGAGAGGGAGAGAGAGAGGAGCAGATAAAATAAGAAGGAAGAAAGAGAGACAGAGTGGGAAGAGATGGTTGTGAAACAAAGCTCAATGCAGCTGCCCATGTTGTCGAGTCATGTTGGCAGTAAACAGAAAGGAAATGAATAGTAGACGAGATCTTATTAATCATAAAACCACAAATATCTCTAGTCCTAGCTAGCCTTCTCCTCCATGCATGGCGAGTTGGCGACAATATGCTTTGAATTAATGATCAAACACTGACCTAATCAATTACATCATGTCTAGTATATCGTCCCTATTTTCACGAAGTGACGGTAGAGAGGAAAATCGTAACGCAAAGTGAATGCAATTTTTTTTTCACTACCGTCACTTCGTGAAAACGGCGACGATATGTGTCATCTTTGATTAGACAAGGATAATGAAGAAGGGGAAAGAGAAAGAATTGATCAAATAGTTTTATGCCTTGTAAAACCAATAACTAGTAACTAAAGGATACCTTAGGGAGGAACGAAAAGAGAAATGGTATATTAACGTAGAAGGAAAAATTGTTACAAAAAGATGTACTGTATTGAAGAATGAGTTAAAAACAGTGTGTTATGTCCAAATGTATGAAATTATTTCTCATATATTCTCAAGAATAATAAAATCTTATTAAAACTTAATATAGATGTACGGTACAATGTAGTTCTTTTTTCTTTTTTCAAATTTATTTTTCAAATTTGATTGTTTTTACAAATATCAATTTATCATTTAAAAAAGAAATGACAACAATATCTATATTGTGCAAACATGCTCTTTGCAACCAATTGATATGCTGTACTTGTACACATATTTCTAAACATCTGAACTGGTTTGCATGAAAATAGGTGCATAAGGGTAGAAGAGATCCATGAATTCCATCAATCAAAGTGCAAACATCTGTCATGTGAGCAGGCCTGATAAAGTCTACCTTGATGAATACCTCCATCCTCATTGGCTGTGTTTATCACTTACGTTGCCGTGGAAATGACCCAAAACATTCTACGATACGCTGGTTGGCAGATTAACAAGATGGCTGGGGTTTTTTTTCTGCACGATCTCGCCCATGGGTGATAGGTCTACAGTGTTTCGGACATGAATTTACCCCTCCATTCCTGACCATAAGAGCCGACTCAGTTATCCCCAAAGTTCCTTATATTGTTATCTTGGGTTCCTCAAATTTACATAAATGTAGTATGGTTGAAGGCAATTTATTGACTGGGGGGGGGGGGCATCAGTTGGTTCTAGCCCTTCATGGAACTTTAAAAAAGTATATATATAAATTAGACCAGTCAGAGAATATATGGAGCAATTTTTTTTTTTCAGGGGGGGGGGGGGTGCTTGATCCCCAAAGCTCTTTTCAAATGGTTCTTGTATTTTAGGAATTATAATATGGTTGTATAAAGATTGTTTTTTCTTTCTGTTCTTTGTTTTAGTTGGATAGTTGTCAGGAGACAGTAGACCAATGCAAGGGAAGTCTTACCAAGAAGAGAGGGAGTCAATATATCAGTGATCTTGTGGAGTAAGTAGAATATTTACTTCTTACTTCTCACCAATCTATGATCATAATATATCTCATGTACAATTCATAATTTTGCCTTCAATATTTTGTTTCTCCACAAATAAGGCCACTTACTCAATTTCCATATCATTCTATGTCGTTGAATATACAATACATGTACACAATACATAAGTGCCTCACCCTGGCTTTGTAAGTAATCTTAAAAGCATGCACATAATTAATAATGCAAATATATATATATTGAAATGTTCAAAATTTCTAAACACTTGCAAATACTTGAAGAGTCCTTGATTGTATGATGTGTTATTACGTGAAACTGATATGAAATGATGACTAAATCAGATGTTTAGAGTCAGAGACAGATATATGATAGGAAACATTTGTCAGATGTTCAAGCAGAGCGATCCTTCTATACCTCTTAGGAAAACCACAAAATATAGGATGTTTGTAGGGTTGAGCTAGGGGCAGTCTGATGGAAAGGGGAAACAAATCTTCTCATCCTGTCTGTAAATCAAAACCTAAATTTCTCTTTCTATTTTCAAGATGAATATGGGTCATCAGCTATCAAACGTAGTCTCAGAATATTATCCCATGAATATAAACGAGGCAATTTCATCGTCGTAAATTTAATTTCAGTATCTGTCTTTTAATGACAGATTGATGGAAGACATTTATTTTTGTTTGATATATTAGGTACACACCCTAAGCAATATAGTATTAAATAAATAGCAGTTTCTCTTTCTAATAGTCATGACATTGTGTGATGTTAGATACATGTTAGATAGAATCGATGCTTTGATGCTAATTAAACTATTGCCTATTGCTCAGTGCTCATCTCGATGTCTTGAACCAGAAATGTTAAAATCAAAAGTCTTATGTTATGTATTGCAATTCTAGTTTTCTGATTTTAGTTTGTACTTCAAATGCGTGGGGGATGTTTTTAAAAATTTAAATTTCATCCCTTTGGAGCACTGTGCATAACTTCCACTCCTACTTCTTCTTTTTTCTGTCTCTTTTCTATGCTGTCTATTATTGGAATGATGGTATTAATGAACATGAATTATTGATTATCCATCTTCAATAATGACCTAAAATAGAAAGAGGGACAGCTTATAGCCTTTCAACAGAGAGACCTAGCCGAGTTTGATGAAAAACATGTTGTTTTTAATATAGTTGAAGTATCATGTGACGTCTAATATTAGTATATGATGTAATAAGTTTCTCATATCATCATGTATTAGTATTAGTTTGACGATTGGTCGATGAGACGTGTTAGGGGCAGGAAGTTGTGGATTGGTTCCAAATATCATTAATAATATCCTGGACTGATTTCCGGTGACATAGTTTGTCCAGACACAGGATAGGAATGTTGAGCTTGAATAAAATCTATGAAAATTGTACACTCTGACTCCATCTCTTACATCGATTACTCTTTATTATTAATTCTTTTATAAAAATCTTTTTTTCTCTCTTGTTTTAATACATTCATTGAGCTCTGGCTTTGATAGAATCAGTGCTTTTAAAATGATCAATATTTTCATTTATCAAAGTTTCCAAAGTTTCTGCTTGCCCAAAGTCAGATTTGTTGCCCGAAATGAGATAGTATACTTTTCGATCTTTTTGGTGTGGTTCTTATCTTTGTCTCTTGGTCAGTGTCAACACATACATGTATATCTCCTCAGTCTCTTCTTCATTTTATAGTATTCACACTAGCCGAGGTTTTCAGAGCCTCTGTCTGTCTGTACTCTATCTTCTCGTTCTTTCTTTCCTGGTCAAAAAAATATATCAAACATACTTTATCCTTTTCATGTCTTCCTTTGACCATAATTCTCTCTTTGAATTTCCTTTGTCAGTAGATCTACAATAAACTACTACAAATGCTGATTGGCATGCACGTACTATACTCCTTGCCAAGCCTATCTTAGTTCATTAGTTCAATCACTTGGGACAATGCCAGAGAAATAGCTGATTAGGATTTCCCGTGACAAAATATAAATGTCTGATAGAAGATAATTCAGGTTAAATAAGAAATGGAAGATGATAATTCAAATTAGATCCCCCCTTTATGTTCAACATCATCCATTGTGAAGTATTGGCTTGAAAGACATTGTGTTGGGTCTGAATATAAATCTAATGGTATTTCACATGTTTGGGAGTTCAGAGGATTGTAATACAATGTCATGAATGATATGTATTCTATTGTTAAGGATGATTTAATAGGCATATATCATTCGCACATCATCATCCTTTCTTATATATCACATTCCATCTGAGAAGAATGTACATTATTAATGTGCATCCTTACAAGCTCATACTGCAGTTCTCATAACATTTATGAAAGCGCTATCCTGTCTTTGGGATGTATTAATAGCATCTCTTGAAACGGACGTAGCTTCCGCGCTGGGACCTGATGAACGATAAGCCAGCTTTTCACCCGTTTTCTTTTGCTTAACGCTTTAAGGTATGTCTCGGGGAGCAGGAAGGCCGATAATTTGATCCAGGGCAAGAGGAATAAGAGCGTTGTATGGAATGCGAGTTCAGGGAGGAATGCAAGGCCTTGCAGAAGTCTTTTGTTTCTATCAGGAAACTTGCATTATCTGAATAATTGATACTATCATCATCGTGATGATTCCATAAAGAAGGCTCTGGCTGAGATAGGATTAGGTATGGGTATCATTCTAATCCAACATAAACTTCAATCTGTCATTTTGATAATCATATAGATCAGTTAGATAGGTCATTCACTCAATGACAATGAACCCACAAAGTTATAAATAGAAACCAATAAGATCATATTTCTGACCTGTTGCCTAAAAATAGAGGTGCTAGTGAATTGATAGCAAAAATTTATCATTAACTTCAGAGGAAGTTAGCCATAATCAAACCAAACTTTTCAGAGCAGTTACAAGCTGAAGAATGGATTTACATTATATGTTCTCTCCTTCACCTTTTCTCAGGAGATATAGAAGAGAAAGCCCGTGAGTATGATTCCATTCTGCTCTCTTGCACAATTCACAGAGCACTGTCTATTACTTAATTCACCCCCACCCCAGCACATGCTGTAGGAAATATAAATGGGAGGGGTCAGTGGGAGGGGGCAGTGGGGGTGGGGTATTCTCCGTCCAGGAACTTATGCAGAAATAGTAAATTTAAGTAAATCACTTCAAGCACATCCAGCGACCGAATACAAAATTATAAGCTGCACAGTCAATATCATATTGCCTCCCTTGAGCTTCGTATAAGTACCCACCTATGTCAAAACCACCCAAATATCTTTTAGCAAGTATGCTCCATTACAATGTATGCCCAAATACACAATGTCAGTTTTTCATCCAAAACGCACACAAAAACTGATCAATTTTTCTTTCTGTATTGGTCTTGAATCCTTTCTTAAGCAAAATAAATGATAACAAAATAGGTTTGAACCATTTTGATAAGAAAATGATTTAGCTTATGTAGTTTGCATATTTCAACTCATGCCCTTGCAATCTTGAAAAAAATGACATTTTTTCAGCATTGAAAAAAATAATTTAATTTGTTTTTTAATCATTAGGTCAAAATGACAAGCATTCTATCATGCAATACACAATGCAATCCTATTCTAAAGGACAAGCTCAGTAGAGCTTTCCTAAAAATAGCCAACAATAACTGAAGCAAAATCTTGTTTCAAATCATGTTTCGATACGTGTGTAAACGGTACAAGTATGATGCAGTAATCTCACATAATTGCTCTTCCTTTCCTAAACTACAGTGAAACAGATTTCTTTCTACATTTGATACCTGATATCTCTTTGTGAGATCTAGTAGCTATTTTTAGTGAAGTAAAATTAAGCACGATGCTCTTTCTTTTACACAAATCAACATTTATTGAATCTGTAGCTCATAGCAGAATCTTTTTGTTTTTTCAACTGATTGAGAATGCACCTGAACTTGTACTTCCTGTTCTGAAATTTAATAAAGATTTGTTTTTCAAATGAAACATAAATATGTTATTTGGAATGGTTTCAAGAAATATTTCACAATGTTTCCAGTTTTTTTCTGGCTTATAAAATAGTTTTATCCTTTGTATATCTTTACTTTTTAGCTGGTTGATTTATCTTCTTTTGATTGTATATTTTGATTGATATTTTGGAACCACAATATGTTTCTTTTTAATTCTCTTCTGTCTCATTGAAATAAAATGTTTAAATATTGGATTTCCTTTCTGTATGGGATTTCAAGGACATTCTCCAAAGAGAGGAATTTCACTTTCATGACAGCACATCAATTCAACGATGCTTACAGAACTCTATATTTGCTTGGTTTTCTTTCTTAGACAACTTTGATATTGTCTGTTCCAAGTCACATGGGCGTTAATTCTGTGTTAGAGTATATAAGATAATGCCCCTGTAGCTCCAGATAATATGTACATCACTAATCACTATCCACCAAAATGTACGGACCAGAACACTTTAGTGGTAGAATCATGGGCCTACTAGATAGAGATTGATCATATGCCACATTTGGAAGTGTGAAATCAGTGAAATAATTAATTAGATGGATGAAGATGGATTGATGGACAACTAGACCTTTGCTGTTTTTCATGCTGCTTGAGAAATCAAGTGGACCATGTGGCACATTACATTGCAACTGTCAAGGCTTAAAAAAACCTGGTTGGATATAATTATAAAGCCTTTTCATGTATGGTCATATAATTTATTTATCTTTGTATAGCATATATACTGTAGACAGGAATAGGAAAGTGCTCAAAATATGAAGATTTAATTCCAACGACCATAGTCCTAATACTGTGATTTGTATCAAACTTTTGACATTGAAATATGAAATTCCAGCATATTTATCACTCCTACAAATCTCTTTTATTTTTCTTTCAGAGCTCGTAAATCTCGAGACAGGGTGGCAGACTACATCAACAAGTCACTGTTTGTAATGGAGGAAGTGAATCTGATTCTCAGTATTAAAACTATACCAGCGAGTAATGAGGTGGGTTTACATTATAAGCAATATGGAATAGTGGTTTTCATGCCTTCAGGACTCTTAAATCATGAGGTTTAGGGTTCAAATCCAATGACAGTGTTTTATGCCCAGAGGCAAGGTGTTTCATTGATACTTTTATCCCCTGATCCTAGTATAGTAATTTTTTGTAGCATTTTTTTCTCTCATTTCTATGGGAACTGGGTTGAATCATGAAGGTGGTATAGATGTTATTGCAATTTGATTGATTTAATTTTCAAACTGATGAATCATCTTGATTTTGTTTTTCTTCAAGCCACAATGTTTATTTTGTTGAGTGGGCAGTGTTTTGGTATTTCCCTACATTACATTGACATATTTAGTAAGATGTGTTTTGACTGAGGAAGTAGTCCAATGTTATGTTATAAGCATTGTCAGCCATTTACACGAACTGGAAAAGAAAAATCTGCTAACCTCCTTATGATATGGAATTAAACCACCAATACAGATGTCTCGTGAACTACAAGAGAAATTGTATATTTTGATTTTATAGCTTAGTGTCATACTCGGTCTCTATTACTCTTGGTACTAAAGAAAGTGAGCATATACTGCCCAGAGTTGAGAGTTTTTTTTACCCTATGAAGGGGTTGTGAAATGTTCTTTAAAGATTGAATAGAATACTATATTGTTACCCCATGGAAGGAATACTGATCAAGCCTGACAATACAAAGTGATGCTTTAATGAGAGCCCCACAGCTATCATTATAATTTCTATTTCAGAAATGTTTGATTTGTTATTCATGTGCTTCATTCATACACATCTGGAAATATACTTGGTGTATCCATAAGCAAATATTAAGTTCACAAAGACTTTAAAAAAGTTATATGTGCAATGTATTTGTAACCTGCTTGACAATGGAAGTGAAAATAATGAACTCCAATCCAATCTATCTCTTGTGCTTTTCTTTCATGATGTGCAGTTATCCGACCAGCATCGAGCATACATCCGTATCCAAGATGAATGTTATATGTGCAATGTATTTGTAACCTGCTTGACAATGGAAGTGAAAATAATGAACTCCAATCCAATCTATCTCTTGTGCTTTTCTTTCATGATGTGCAGTTATCCGACCAGCATCGAGCATACATCCGTATCCAAGATGAATGCAAGAGACACAGCAAAGAGCTCCATGATCTACAGAGAAAAAAGGTAAGTCAAAGCTAGATGGCAGTGTTTCTTTTTGTTCACTGAAAACTAGAAATTAGTTGCATATATCCCTTTAATACAAAACTAATCTCCTTCTGGCTCTTAACGTTGTTGAAGTAGAGACTTGATTGAGACTTGATCTGAAGAAAAGGGCGAGAAAAATAGATCAGGAGCAGAAATTAAGGATATAGATATCAACTTAGTTGAAGTAGAGACATTATTGAGAAGTGGCATGAACTATTATTATAGAGCAGATCTGAAGAAAAGGGCGAGATAAATTGACAAGGAGCAGAAATTAAGGATATACAAAGAATCTCAAATACCTATTTGATTAGTTTGAATTATGTTCAGTAGACAAGTATTTAAGCATTAGAATGAAGGAAAGGGAAACTGCACACCCTAAAGAATGTTATACACACCACCATGCAAATCTTAATCTTTAATAACCTCCAAAGAAAAATGAATTGTCTTTTATAGATAATATGTTAACAAGAGATAACTTATTCAAACAATAATAGTAATAATAAAAACGTTACTTATAAAGCGCTTACCACCGAGGTCTCTAAGCGCTATAACAAACAAAAATAGACTGATAAACAATGCTTTCTTGTCAGTAATTTATACATATTTTCAAACCATTCAAATAATCTTTCATAATTTGTTTCCTGTGTAGCTCTTAGCAACAAGTGTGCGAGAAGCCCTGGTGTCAACCGAGAGTGAATTGAAGCAGGGAAGAGAGACAACAGGAATAGATATCTCATCAGATGGTCTTATACGATCGACAGATGGTACGAACATGTTCCCATTTATATCATAATCAAATCTATTCCAATGTCTTTTCCCTAACAGGCTTGATTCTAGTCAATCTCCATGACAGCATGCGTGTAATCACCACAATGTATAATGTACAGTTAAATGCTAGGTATAGTTAAAACATTGTCTCTTGTCACGTTTAAAAAACTGAGGAAATGCCATATATGTCAACAGATGGTTTTATATGATATATGGATATAACACCTATACTTTTTTTAAACGATCCTCCTACAACATCTGTTAGCTGATTTTTGCTTCCATCATTATGCAAGTAATACAATTATCTTGTTTCTTTTCTTTTTAGTTCTTGGACCAAGCAAGCTCCCAGAGGCTTGGCAGACACTCCCTAGTAAAGTCTCTGAGGTATGTATGGACTAGAGATTATGATTTTTTAAATGATGTCGCAGATTAAGATATAAGAATGAATGAAATTGATGGGTGTTGTTGCTATTTAAATTTGTTTATGAAAGTTTCCTTACTCTCCCGGCAGTATATCTATTAAGTGGCATCCTATTACAAACAAATTGTGTAATCAGGTTGTGGTTATAAATCCATCCATTCATTCATTCATTCATATGAATATCCTGTTCAAATGGAGTAAAGATGCCAAGTAAAGCAAAGCCATGTTTTGATTGCAATGAATTACAAGTACTGTACTTAAGGAAATCCTGTACCTTCAGGATTGGCAAACAGGCTGGCTCTCCTGTTTCGCATGAACTTTAAAATTTTTATTTTTATTTTAGCATGCACCATGGAAGTGATATGAGTCAGTAGAGACTTCTGGATTTATTGGAAAATGATGTTAAAGCCCCTCCTATTTTGTGCACTATTCATGAAGGTTTCCTTTACATTTAGAAAATTACATTTTTATAGATTATCCCTCTTCTTAACACTTTTTTCAAATTGTGATTTAATAAAAACATGAGATTTCTTGTAATTAATGCCAGTTTTCATGTATTTGTTTTATTTTTGTTTAGGCTTTGGAGAAGAACAAGACATTGAATGATCTTCATCATGATTTCAGTAAAGAAATAGTGAATCAGTGTCGTGAAGAGATCAAAGGTCAACCAACCATCAAGAGATTCAGACAGAAACTTGATGTCAGTAACTCATGGAAGGTAATTTATAACTTTCTTGACTTTTTAAAGTGAATGTATATTCTCTGAATTTCATTGTGTTGTTGTTGATGAAGATGATAATGATTGATAATGTGATCGTTGTTGATGGTAATATTGATAATAAGGATGTTGGTAAAGACTTTGTAGTTACAATCTTTAGCTATAACTATCATACTAATTTGCTCATATATCACTCTAGAAGCTAGCCAAGAAGCACAGTGGAGTTAGCATCAATCATGAAAGTGATAAGATGAGGAGGAATACACGACATAGTCTCATTGAGAAGAGACCAACGGCTCACTACCAAGCTGTTACTCAGAGACTCAAGACAGATGTCAATATGCATTTCCAAGAGGTGAGTTTTTCAAATGCCATCCCACAAAATATATAGATTTGCATTGTCCTTTTTTTTCTTTCTGTGCACAGTTTGTGAATAAAATGAGTTTGAGCTTGATTTTGAAGTTGCGTAAACAACAAGTGTTAGGCAAGGAATGGAATGGTTTGATATTGATATTTTCGGACCATTTTATGTCAAATAGGCCGTTTTCAGGAGTGCGGAAAACAAAAATTGATGTTGACTCTACTTCTTAGGAGAGGTTAAGTGTGACCTATTGAGGTATAAATTTAGGCTGTACTTCATCAAAATTAAATGTTTGAGCAAGAACTGTAACTGTTTCATTTATGTGATATGAATATAAGTAGTTTGATTTGTTATGCATTTCATTTTTACATATAAATCATGATTTTTTTTTACCTTGACTACATGTAGGTAACAACAAGGTTAGCAAGTCATCTGAATCTACCATTTTACTACAGCCGAGCTGATCTTTGGACATGCTATGAGAGGGCCTTCTTTCCTGGCAAGATCTCAGAGTTCCTGAAGATCTATGTGGTAAGTGATAATGAGTTTGATTAGACAGAGCATTTAGGCTGCAGCATACATAATTGTTGTGGTGTGATGTTTAGTCTAATCTTTATCAATATCATCTTTATCATCATCATCATCAATATCATCATCATCATCATCATCATCATCATCAATATCATCATTATCGTTATCATCATCATCATCATCATCATCATCATCATCAATATCATCATTATCATTATCATCATCATCATCATCATCATCATCATCAATATCATCATCATTATCATCATCATCATCATCATCATCATCATCATCAATATCATCATTATCGTTATCATCATCATCATCATCATCATCATCATCATCATTATTGCCATCATCATCATCATCATCATCATCATCATCATCATCATCATCATTGCGATCATTATCATCATTGTCATCATCTTCACATTGATATTATGACACTGACTATCGTCATACTCAAACTGCACCTCGTCTTTCTCATGAATTTGAACCCAAAATGCAATTCATTCCAGACCTTTTATCTCGCCCTTAATTACGCCATCTTCTTTTCATTTTTCTGCAGTATGCCTATCAGGCTGAGATAGCAGATCTTCAGAAGATCCTGCCTACCTCCAACCTTCAAGACATGCAACTAGACGACGAATGGATTCTCAACATCCTCGGACTCTATGCTCCTATTTTCAACATCCATGATGACATTGAGATCGGTGAGGATGTCACAGAACAGGTCATAGAACCTGAGAAGCAGTCTGAGAAGCAGGATCATAATGACAGACTAACAGACATTGCATCAGTGTCAGGGTTGGGTGACTTTGTCAAACACAGACTTCATATAGACGAAGACATTCGAGGGAGGTTAGAATCGGGGGTGGATGTTGATCTCCCCGAGGAGAGATTACGACGCCATGCAAGCCCTCATAGGCAAGGTGAATCGAGGCAATCATGGCGTAACACACAGATCATAGACTGTAAGTGGGTGACGGTGCCGATCAACATTGAAAGTGCGCAGTCGGAACCTTGTATCGTCCAGAAGCAGTTGAGGCAAAAGAGTGTGAAGCTCAGAGACCATGAGATAGCAGCAAGACATGCCTCGCTACCTGAAATCAAGCAATTGAAACATATAGCCGTTGAACAGTACTCCCCGCATAGCCTATTCCTAAATAAGGTATTGGACAAACCACATCCTCTGCTCAAGAAAGAGTCTAGCCACTTAGACGATCACATTGGTGATGATTCGGGTGTATTCAATGATCACCATGACGATGACAGACACAGTCAGAAAGGTGATCATAATTCCAATCTCAATAGAACAGATAGCTCAAGGACTGCTATGAGCGTGGAATCCAATGTATCACAACCTCTCAGTGCATCTGATCTATGTAGCTCCAACCCATCAATGGACGCATCCACCTTCCCGCAGGTAGTAATATCCTCAGACGCTGCGTCAGACGTTGAGAAGATGTCAATCACATCTAGCAGCCATGATCCTGTCAATGACATGGATGTGAACATCATGATCCAAGGAGTGGATGGAGAGATCAAACTAGACAGAGAGCTCTCAAGACGATGCAGGGAGAAGCCAGCTATCTCAGAGTTCTTGAAACGCTTCAGCCAGGCCTATCACTACTTCAGAGTGGTCTTAGAGGAGAGTGTTCCATGCTCCAAGCTTCAATGGTTGCTTCGATGTCTCAAGGAAGTCAACTCTGTGGCTGAGAAACAAGCATCTCTTATATCATGTAAGTATCTCACAGCATGCAAAACTAGTATTAGAATCATTTGCTAATGATGCAAATGTATCGACTAATTCTTAAACAGCACCTTGTGATTCTGTTATTGTAATGTTAACATAATCACAAATTGACAATAGAAATGGGCGATGGCCTTTCAGATATCCGAGTGTTTTGCCAATTAAAAGTAAAGGATATTCCACTTACTCCTGCAGTATCCTGTATGAAATTATATGATTATGTTTATCTGTATTATGTGCATTAAATGAATCCAATGTGAAAATATCATTGTTTTGATTGCATCAACAACTAGTCTTGCATTGAATTAAGCAGAGTGGTGATCATTTCTCATATCTCTCTCTCCATACATCCAGGTGGTAAGCAGCGCATGTTGAGTGGTGATGACCTGCTTACATCTCTGATTCTCTTCCTGATACATGGTGACCCTGGAGAGGTCACGGCTTTCTACCCACAACTCCGATTCTTAGAGGATTTCCTTCCTGACTTCCTGGACAAAGGAGAGATTGGATTTGCCGTCATACAGTTTGAATCTGCATACTCCTACATTCTGAGAGTGGAGAGGAAAAAGAGAGAGAGTGCTCAGTAAACATAACTCTCTAATGAGTAGTGCCGTTTCCAAGCCTCTCTCAATGAAAAGTTATTCAACATTGTATCACAGCAGTTAATCATCATACTCGGCAAAGCGCAGTGTAAAGGAAGAAGAGGAAAGCAGAGGATTCGTTGGATATAAGGTTTGACCAAAGAAACAGACAAGTCCTTAAAGGCCCCCTGCACTACTTGTAGCTACTTGCGCCCTCTATATAACAAACAATGCCTAATCAGTGACCATTGGTCCCCCATGATCCTCTCAGATAAGCTTTAAGAGAGCTGTGCAAAGTTGCCTTTAATAGGCAGAATAGCCCGGAGAAAATTTGTTGATGGGGTTTCTCATGAGTCAGGGACTTCCCTCTGTCAGTGGATTCAATTACATAATTGCATACTTTCAGTGCACACAGTAAAATGAGAACCTTATGTAACTTATGAAACTTTGCAATTTGCAATTACAAGAACTTTTTTGAATTGCAAATATTGTGTTTCAGTAATTTTCAGCATGAAGCGCTTGAAATTTAGACTATTTATAAACTTGACATGTGGCTCCATTCATGAGTAAGTTTCTGTTTGTACAGTAGTCACTATTTTACAGGTATGAAAAATTTAACTAGTCATTTTATCTTACTGGATAATCATTTATTTGGCGTGGTATAGTGACAAAATATATACATGATGGATTGGTTATGAGGAAATCATTTTATGGCAAACTTTTCAACTAAAGGACTTCTACCATATTGATCATTTACATTGAACAATGGGCCCTGTTCACTTTCACTTTCAATTTACTCTTTTTATCAATAGGCAATTGAGGCAAATATTATGAAGTCCCTCAACCACTGACCATAAAAACAAGATCGTAAATCATTGTATTATTACAGAAACGGTAGTGAAATATCATTGTTATATTTTCTTTTTCATTATCTATCAACTTCTGTATGGTAAAATTAGTGAGTTTACCAAGTTGTGTATTGCTTTATAATGTTGAATGCTGTTTGAACCTCCATAAGTTTTATACAGTGTGACCAACTGGTTCATGTAGGCAGCGGGTAAATTTTAGTTTTGATTTTGATTTTTGATCATTTGCAATTATATGAACCAAAGAATGCTCCTTCTAGGATATCATCCCAGTGCCTTTAGATGAAATTGGTAGAACACAGTATCACTTTTAAGTGCCACCTGAAGAAGGTTATTGCAGTTGCATTATGAACTCCCATTATTGATACATTTGCTGCTTCTCATAGCAAAAAAAGGGAAATATTTGACATAAATAGCTGCTACATGTGCATGAATATCTTGTGCAATGTAGTTAGTAATATCATAGTACAGTATTTTGTATGAATATATTTTTGCAGTATATTTTAATATTTTATTGATAAAAAGTAAATGTGTGCCTACCTGAAGTTCTATATTTGGGCTGTTTAGTGACCATACTCAAGAATAGGCACTATGTTTGTACATTTGGAATAATCCATGGAAAATTGGAAGTTGTAAATTATTTGTATGGCAGGACTAAACTGAGATGATTACTAGTGGTCTATCTATATTCATGAAAGTGGTATAACCAGGTTACAACCTGGGGTCCCATTGCATAAAACTAACCATTGATGGTAACATTGCTATCATTAATAAATACCATGGCGATATCACGCAACAGCCAATCAAATGAAGGCTTCCATGGCAGTTACTATAGATGCCAAAGGTATCATCAATGGTATGAATTGTGCAACATGGTCCAGATTGAGATAAAAACTAAGTCAATACTTTTGCCAGTCATGAATACAAATTATGAATTAAACTTCGAACAATATCACAAACGAAATGCCCAAAATTAGTTTATTCTAAGACTTTTGCTGTATGCCTTTGGAAATTATGGTTCAGTGAGTTTTATGGGCATGGTGGTTAGTTCATATTCACTTGTGTGTGATGCTATGTAAATTTCTTGTAAACTCTGATATGTACATATAGGTCTAAGTAGCATGCACTCTATTAGAATACGATTCTTGTACAAATTGAGCTTACGTTTTGTATGCCATGTGCTCAGAGCTATTTTTTGTATATACTTGAAATCTGCAAAATATTTTTATATAAAACACCCCATATTTTATGCAATGAAAAAGAAAGGTTTGCATGATTTAGTGTCGTCTCATTGATAGCCTATACACAGCTTGAAGTATCTTTATTTTGATACAAATAATGTACATCTCATATACCCAGTATGTTAAGGAATTTGCTACTTTTAAAAATAATGTGCCTTCAGTTATAGATAAACCGTACAGGTAAAATGAACATGTAAGGGTTTTATGTGACATTAACTGCTTTTATCATGCTCTTGTTTAATACTAATATAGTAGTAGGTGATGTTTGAACAACTCTTTGAATCTGCTCTAAATACTGAATTGATGTTTTCAAATGTGTGGACTTTAAACTTGAAAGTTATGAGGTGAGTTAAAGCACTTAGGTCCTAATACAGATTTGGTGAAGAGAATCATTTCAAGTTATTGTAGACATGAGGACATTTCATGATGTGGCAATTAAAAACAAAAATCTTTCTTTTAATGTCTTTCAAAGAAGCTGTATTCTTACTCAACATATGATATACTTTTTAATAAGATTTAGAGCCGGTACTCTTTACCACAATGTGGAAATATCTTGTAATGGCTTTAGATTGTTATGATAACTCTAGAGCATACACAAGAACTCAATTCATTTGGTAATGGACTTTTTAAATTATTGATTGCAACAACTCACAAAGATGTATTTAATAGAAGTGTCTTTATCATGAGAGATTTATGTAAACTGTTTGATATCTCAAGATGAAATGGTGATAATGATAATTTTTAAACTGTGTCAAAAAGGGAAAGCTGTAAATACACTGGCTGATTCATCTGATTTTGTTTTCTTTTGAGCAATGTTTTTAGATTACTTAGACAAAGTGGAAAAACAATTAATTCCATGGACTTTCAAAAATTGGCTATGTTTACTGATTGCTAAGCTTAGAATCAGCAGAAAATGGCTAAGGTTTTTGGTATGTGAACTCCCTATTATTGCATTACAAGATATTGTATGCTGAAACTATTTTATGGAATGCTGTATGAACTACATAGAGTATGTTGCAGCATAGAAATCACGAGTTTCATGATAAAACCAAAGACATTTTTACACTTCTTATTGGCTACTCAGTAATGGACAAGTATCTGTCTTGTTAAAATGTGATATCAACTCTTTCTACACAGATCTGTAAAGAAACATGTATGATTAATCCATTTCCTTAGGAGTTATATGTGTGTTTTCTGCAATAAAAAATGGTTAAAACTATCTTTCAAGCCCTCATGGCTTTCAGCGCACAATCTTCACTGTTATTCACTCTGTTTGCTACGTGAGAATGTGTAGCTTGAAAGTCGCTTTATATTTTTATCATATCAAAACAATATTTTTAGGTATGCTTTTTTAAATAAAATGGAGTACTGCCATGAAAAGCAGTGAGATACAAAGATTCAATCTGGTAGTGTCATTGTCATTTCTAGATTTGAGAACTCAGCATGGGAATTTCTTGAGAAAATGATGGTATGCCCTTTATAAGGAATTTGGGTATATGTATATGATTCTCATAACATGTACCTCACAACTCTAGTACATTGGTGTATATTGTCTTTTTTGGTGAAATTTCTTTGAAAAACTGAAGAGACACCGGTGTAGAGAGGGGCAATAGAGAATGAAACAAGACAGGTAATAGACAGAAGCAAACATAATTTGGAGATAATTCAGAGACAGAAGTAAACATAATTTACAGATAATTCAAATAGCGATTAATAGAAGCAGAAAATATTAAATAAAAAGAGAGTAGGAGAGGGAAAGTTACAGAGAGGGAGGGAGTGGAAGAGAAAGAGGAAGAGAAAGAGGGTGGGTGGGAGGGAGGGAGAGAAAGATAGAGAGAGAGAGAGAGAAAGAGAGATGGAAAATTACTTTTGATAAAAAAAACATTGCCATCACATTTAAAAGGATGGAAAGGCAGGATGGTATAGATCGAAGAAAATTTATAACACTAAAACATGTAAATAATGATAGCACAGAACTAATGTCAAGAGAAGAAGCAGGGGTTATATACGACAAGGTCTTTAATCCGTGCTCAAACATTGGCAAAAGCAAAATATCCCATTCCTGTTTGAAACGCATAAATGGAAAGAACTTGGCTTTCTATTGACCTTTCAAAAGAAGCGCTACATCATCATCGGATACCTCACAGTCCTCGCCTTCTTCCATAGGGCATGATTCCTCGGCCTTGTTAGTGAAGATAAACCATCTCTCCTATCCTTTCATTGGGAAGTCGTCAATTATCTTGTGGTTAATCACGTGTGAGACATGATGGCTTTGTGGTTTACATGATACTCATAGCCTTCAGATCATCTTATAGATCCTCTTCAAAAACCTTTCATTCCTTCCTCTTACACCCCTTCCTCATTGCATCCTCCATCCATACAACTCTACTGAAAATTGTAAAGCCTTAAGAATATGCCACCCTCATACATATATTTTGTAGTTTAAATCATGAATACAGTTAAGGACCTGTAAAGTCACAAAAACCCAGAGCATAAAAACCCATTTTGGGGAAAATGTATTTTAATAACTTTTGAAACCTTATATACCATTCTATATGCCTCTTCCATCCTACATTGTTCATCAATCCTACTTTCTTGAAATGTATTTAAGATTAGAGGTATGTTGCAATTCTACATGGTTTTCTAAACTTTAATCAAGACCTCAATAGTCACATAAATTGATAGGGTATATTCTACGTGAAGAGATAATGTAACCCTCACCCCCCCCCCCCCCCCAAAAAAAAGAAAAAAAACAAACAACAACTTATGTGTACTGTATATCATCTGCCAAACCTAGAGGGGCATTTAGTGAACAAATCTTTCATCCTAAAGTCAACACCCTTTTGGTTTAGATCTCAACAGATGATGTCATATCTGAAAAGAAAACCTATTTTGATACAATTACCTCAGTCTCTATATAGTCACGTAATTCAGTATGTTTTAGATGGCCACTTTTTCAATGTTCCTGTCGGTTAAGTGAACATTAAGGAGTTAATAGTAGATGCATGCTTGCCAGATCTTCCCTAAAAAACTGTTTTGCGATCACATTACAAAATATTCCCCATCGATAATCCTCTCTCCCACCTACATGTATAAATACATCGTCTCCATCTCCCCCTCTTTTACATATTCTCAATCATTCGTTTCTCTCTTCCCCCTCTCTTCCTTTCTAGCTTTTCCCTCTCTTTAGTGCTATATGTCTCCCACTCTCTATCAATAATTTTCTTTCTGAATCTCTTTCTCTCCTTTCTTTGGTCAGGAATATCTATCATGAAGAGGAGTAGTACTGGTAACTGTCACTTCACTCAACCTCTTTACAGGCACTGAATGATCCAACTATGACACAATTTTTTTGAGAAATAGCATAAATTAACATGTGGTTTGCAAGATGACTATGGTAAAAGCTTCCATATTGAGATTGTGAATGGTCAAGAGAGTCACTGAATAATTTAATAACAAATTAAAAAATTGCCAAATCAATTCCAAATTTGGTTATTTAACAGACCAATCCCATGCATGTCCCTGATATGTCTAATCAGGTCTTTACTCTCTCTGGGAAGGCTTACAATATCCCACTATTTCAGATTTAATTTTAGAATTTACATGTGGAAGGTGGAAGGAAAATTTCTAATATTTTATACCCTAAATGCAACTCTCTTCTCCAAAATGTGGTCACAGTTGATTTATACATATGGGACAACAATAAACTGGTAGGTACATATACATCATATGTAGCATCTATTGTACTAGCCCAGGAATCTGGTACGTCCATATATAAAATCATATCCCATTTATACAAGTATGAAATGGACAATGGGTTACTTTCCTTTTTTTAATTCTTTTATTATTTTATATTGCTTTCTTCATATATAAAATACAGTTCACAGACAATGTTAATATACATACATAAAATAATTCTTCAGTATTTTGAATATAGCTTTGGAAAGGACGGAACTTTGAGTAAAGACATATCGTTAATGTGATGATAAATTTCTGAACTGCTGATAAAGTAAAAACAGTTTTCATTTTAATATATTTAGAGCTTTTACAGTGACTTGTGCTTCCATATGGTCTACATATGTACTAAACAGCAAGCCACATGTATTCATTTCAAGAAAGCTCAATTGAGATAGAGAATCATATTCATTGTTTTGTTATTATTAAACCAACTGTTTGAATATTATGTCCTGCACAATAGTACTGTAATTCAGCATTGTTTAAAGTGGGTGGAGAGTATTATTCATGAAAGGAAAAATCATTGCAAACTGCAGCAGAAAAGGAATGTTAGAATCTTCCCTTAATACAGCTTCTCATCCATACAAAACTTTCTTACTTTCCAAGCCCCTGCTTCCATGCTCCAAAGCATGTACTAAACAGGAAACTCAGAATTCTCTTTTCTTCATCAATACATCAGCATTATTGCTCAAGTGATGACATGAAGAGAGGCAAACTTTGTCTTCAATGAGAGTAAGCTGTATCATAACAGTACAGAAACGGCTTTTATAAATATTGTTACTTACTTAACAATTACTTTGCGAATATGTAATCCTACTCACAATCAACCAAGAGTATGGAAGAAGGTATTTATAACACTCAATTTGCTTTGATCTTACTTAGATCTTATTTGTACTGAGAAGAAAATGAAACAAGAAACACTTATATACATATTATTACTATATGAATACTCTTCTATAATTTGACCTCCACACCTCAAAAGTTAACGATAACTTGTCTTTTCTTCACTTTGTTGCAATGTTGGAATCCTCCAGCAGAAATGCTTCGGTTGGTTTGTAGAGCTTTCAATTCAGGCAACATGCACTTCATCACAACACTCTACACCGATCCCAAGTAAATCATATCCTTGTCCAGTTTTGATAAGATTCTGTGTATGGTTTTTGAAGCCCTGTGCTTACAACCAGATAGCCAGGGTACAAATAAAAATTGCCAGGGAAATGGGATGAGTGTTTTTGTGATTGATGGATTTCTTTATGATGCAGTCTCTTCTGGCTTAGCATCCCCTTCTCCTTCCCCAGCGGCCGGGGCTTCCCCTCCTTCAGTGACGGGGACTTCCCCCTCCATAGCTCCTGCCTCTCCACCTTCCGCTGCAGGTGCATCTGGGAAACAGGTTAAGGGCGATTATTTGTATGTAGTTTGCAATATATGACACGTGTATAAACATTTGTAACAATATGCAACAATAATAATACACATATGTCTTGTTTACCCAGGGTAGCCTCATCTGTATTAATACTGTTTTCCCTGAGGGGCCTGCAGTCGTATTATTATCCTGGCTTTAGCCGAGCTTTTATTAAGAACGTCTTCAATTTGAACTTAGGATTCAATTAGTGTATACATGATTCATGTACGTTTACATCACACAAGTAAATTACAAATTGCTGATTCTGTCATTAATGATAAATAATGGAGATGTCACCTGCTTGGAGCTAAAAGGACATTATCTCAGTGATATAGGTTTATGGTTCTCAACAGATGATTTAAAACTTTACATCCAATACCAGTGATTAATATGTAAACATTCAGCAATGTATCAATTCTTATTCAATCTAAACATCATTCTTTTGATCTAACCCTCTATCCATAATATTTAACCACACCTCCCTTTCTACTTTCCTCCATTCCTGTCTTCCATCTTACCTTGTGTCTGTTCTTCCTTCTTCTCCTCTCCTTCCTGAGTCTCTTCTGCAGCAGGTGCTTGCTCTGCTGCTGCTTCTAGAATAAAACAATCCAATCAATACCATCATGATGAAGCCTGCTCCATTAATACATTGCCAGTATAAATGTTAATTCTTACCCAATTTTATGAGAAAAAGAATTGTCCTCATTTATAATCCCTTTTTACTTCTTCATTTTCAAATAAACTACATTTCATGACATCAAAGTGTTTAATTTAACAGTTTTTTTAACTACCAAGAAGTTCCAAAATTGTACATTTTCCCTTTACATACAGCAAAAAAATGTGATTAATACAGAACATGACAATTAAAAGCAATGCGCTTATAGGCCTAATTGATGATTCATAGTGAAATGCTTTGAATGCAAACTCAGAGATTATGGATGAGGAACACAATAGTAATTCAGATGGTATAGAATCCGAGGACTGACTTCAATATTTTAAAAGAAGTATGGTGCTATAACATGTAGGTCACATCTTAAATGTATACAATTGAATAAATGAAATGCATATGGTATGATGCAAACTGAAACATATGATTGGATAAGTGAGTCGATTAAACTAGTCATGAAATTCAAATGAATGGACTCTGTGAGAGACCAATGGCAGTTAGTTTGTATGCTCGCTTAGTATGGATGGAAGGAATGAGAAGACAAAGGATTAATTAGGATTATGAGTGATTTCTACTCCAAGTCCTTCAAAATGACCTTCATTATGATGAAGGGTACTTATGATGAAAATAAAAGTTATGATGAATTTTAAATTCTGTCACTCAATGATTACTCCACCTGAATTAGAAAGATGTCCATTATCAAACTAAAACAACAGGCATGATATTCATTGCATAATGTTGCTCTTACTAGTATGAAGTTAAATATGTGTTAGCAATGAAAAGCTAGAGAGGGGGAAAAAGATGGGGGAACTTCTATTATAGAGGAGAAAATTAAAGGTATGGAACAAAATTGAACCTGAGTGGGAACAAGAAAAAATGGTTAAACAAAAATTGGAATGAAATGAAATGATTCTGAGATGAAGTTAATATGATGCATAAGCTCTTGTTTTGTTCACGGTAGTTGAAAAACAGACCATGAATTAATCATTGAGGACAGATGAAATGGGCTCAGTATCTGGTGAAGATAAATGCAGACATTCATGCTATAAGTGATGCATTACATTTGATGAATAGACATTAAACCGATGAATAATCATTAGTCTGATGAATATAAATTAGAATGGATGAATAATCAGTATTAGTTGATGGCATTGAAGTTGATGAATAATCCTTGGTTTAAGAAAAATTAGTCAGTCTGATGAACAACAGTTAGGGCTGATGAATAAACATGATGGCTAAATATAGATTAATGTGATGAATAAAAATTAGGGTTAATGAATAAACATTAGTGTGATGAATAAATATTAGGGTTAATGAATAAACATTAGTGTGATGAATAAACATGATGTCTATTCTCACCCTCTGAGGCAGGAGCAACTTCTTCTGCAGTCTTCTCTGCTTCACCTACATATAATCCATACGATCAGAAATACTTATAAACAACTATCGTATACGGTGAATTTACACATCCTCACTGAACTACAATCAGCATCTGTTTACATATAGGCCTAACAATGTTTTTTGACATTTTCACTCATAGAAAACATAATTGTGCTTTATATATTCTGCACATTGTGATACACAACTGGAAGTATGTGAGTTACTTGTGTAAGATTTTGCAAGTTTCTGAATAATTAATTTGTGTATTGTATACAAACTATTTAAGGTGGTTTTGTGGATAAATATGTGATTGCCTTTATAAGTTATATCCAACAAGTAACTAAAAATAGGGTAACTACTATATATATAAATATATATGTGTGTGTGATTGCAATCATATATGAATGTGTTCTGCTGTATGGTATACACTTTCTAAGCATCTAGATAGATAAGATACAATATAATGCAGTTATTTAACTTCTTTAGAGAGTGTTTTACATAAAATGTAGAAAGTGTTGTTCTTTTAATGTTGATATTTTATATTACTTCAAAATATATGACCTACAATCCAAAATAAATTAAATAATTCTTCTTTCTCTAACTTCTCCCCATCTAAAAAAAAATGCATTGAATATAATTCTGCTTTGCTTTTTATTGGAATAATTTCAAAGATATACGGTAAAGAAGGGGCTTTTAACAAAAAATAAAGTGTCTAAAGCAGATAGATGCATACTTATATATGAAATAACCAGACTGGAAGAAAAAAACCCATGGTAATGACCACTTTGCTGCTCCTAATTCAGTAAGTCAATGATTACATTATGCATCACATACCCTCTTGTGTCTGTTCAGTTTGTTCAGCTGCGGGTGCCTCGCCTATAGATAATTAATATAATATCTCATTATCTGAATTACATCATTAAGGCTTTAACCATCCTATGAAAATAGAGAACCCTCTTTAATGCAATTTAGCACGATGTCTTTTGATATACCGGTAATATTGTGCCGACCCCAAATTACACAGCATCTTTTGAGCACAATTGCAAAATGACAACTGTTGCATAAGTCCTTTATTTCTATTTGTGATATAAAGTACAGTTCACACTGTAATATGGGGATATTTACTGAAATACATGAATTAAATTCCAATCTGTCAATACATACCTATATTGTACCAGACATGCAAAGTAAGATCTCCCCCATAAATCAGCTTGTTATATATTGCTTCAAAGTTTGATAGTAATTCATTCAACTTTATCCCAGATACTTTAGACATTTAGTCAGAAGAAGAATTTAGCAATCATCCTACTCTACCAAGAAAACGATTTCATTGAGAATAAAAAGGAAGGTGGACATGAAGAAAAACTGTTAATATCTGGCTTTATCAGAAGAAATGACATCACATAAAACTATTTACTTAAAGTTGATAATAGTAGCATTCTTAGATAGTTTTTGAAAAAAATCAAGTGTGCCAGAACTACTAAACTTGAAAAAATACTTGAGTCAAGAACAGAAGGAAAAAATATCATCAAACAAAGAAAGATCTGATGTTTGCTGGTGCTAGTCTCTAGAGAGAATGAGTGATTAAATGTAGATCAGCGGAACATACCCTCTTGTGTTTGTTGAGTTTCACCTTCTTCAGCTGGTTTCTCACCTGTTTGCAAGGAATAATCAGGAAATACATCACTCACAACAAATAGCAATCAAACTTCTAGATTAGGATGAAGTTTACTTGATGTTGACCTTTTATATTGTTCAGTAAATTTTTGAGGTATTTCTAAGGCCCAAATCCTAAATGAAACCGACAATTAGTGACATTTTGAACCATGAACAAAGACCTGCAAAGTAAATTAATTGACTAGAAGGTTTTCAAAAGGTATTTCAGGGTACGGCTGATAGAAAGATGGCTAAAAAGGAGACCAATTATAGGGTTCATGTAGCTTGTGTAATCTTTTTATGAAAGAAAATCATTTTAAGGAACAAATTATGAATCTAAAAACAAAGATATATTAAGAACACTTTGTTGAAGAAAATAAAAATGATATAGAAACAAGAGTATGAAAGAAGCAGGAAAAAGATGGGGAAAAAAAAATCATGATTGTCAAAGAATCCCACCCCCCATAGAAAAAAGGGATAAAATGATCGCTGAAATGGAATACATTAGATTATGAAACATCCTAAAAAATGAAATAATTCAAACTTATTATTACAATTGAATTGAAATTATACAGAAGAAAGCTAAATAATACAAACAAATTGTCACAAAATACTTTTCAACAGGAGTATATGTAATTCAAAGATGACTGAATGAAGGATATATGAATGTAGCTGGATGCAATGAAAGATTGTCAAGACTCAATCAAAGAGAAATAATGATTATCTTGTTAAAAAGTAACACAGATGCAAATGTCATGTTAGTAATAATGGAACAAGAAGCAAAACAGAAAGGGGAAAATTAAGAATGCTATACTGAAGCTGGAGAGAGAATGCATGCAGAAGACTTCCTGGACACCAAGCTTGGCTAGGTACCTTCATCGCCCCCTTCTTTCTGCTCCTTCTCCTCCCCCTCTCCCTGGGGTTGATCGCCATCAGCCTGACCCTCTTGGGCATCAGTTGGTGTGGCCTCCTCATCCACTGCCTTCTCCTCCTCTGCAGCCTCTTCTCCAGTCTTCCCATCTTCCACTTGCTGCTCAGCCTGCGCTTCCTGGGTTTGACCATCTTCCGTTAGACCATCTTCTTTTGGACCATCCTCCACCTGCTGGGTCTCACCACCATCTCCTTCTCCAACCTCTGCTTGTTGCTCTGTCTCTCCTCCTTCTTCTCTTTGTTGTGCTGCTTCTTCTTTACATTCAGTGCAAGTTAGAGTGACACAAAGGGTGCAATACAGAGACACATGCATTTGGTTACAAAACAAAACAAAAAAAACATGCACATGTGTTTCACACACATAACTTATGTAGAGATTTGGAAACAAGCAATGTTTACTATCTTCTGAAGTACTGTCAAATTAGAATATTACATGCATCATGCACATTTCTTGAACATGCCTTGCAACTACAATTATTGAGAAATGATTAATTACAAATCATGGTTATCAAGTGTCTGCTGCACTTGTTAGACAGAATGTAAACTTGTCTTAGGTGGCCAACAAAACTACAAACAAACATACAAACAAAAACAGAACAAACTAAAAACACTTGATAAAGTGAAACAAACAAATAAACAATTTTTTTTCATTGGAACCAAGACATTACCTCCTTCAGCAGGTGGCTGTTCTGCTTGCTGTTCAGCCCCCTCTGCAGCTGCCTCTCCTCCCTCTGCTTGTTGGTCACCTGATTCACCTGCAGGCTCTTCTGCTTGTTGCTCTTCACCTTCTCCTGGTGGCTGCTCTGTCTGTTGCTCTCCTCCCTCTGTAAGTGTTTGGGAAATAAAACAAGCAACATAACCACATCATACGGAAGAGTCAACTCATCATCCTTCATATAAATCAATGTTCATTTCTTTTCTTTTCTTTAATGAATTTTAAATGACAACTAACTTTCCCTTTACATTATTTTGAATTGAATTGAAATTCTGATTTACAATTTAACCATTGTGTGTTCCTTCTGCTGTAAATCTGAGACTTGATTAAGTGTGCTTTTGTTGCATGTTGAATGTACCTTACTGCATTTAAAGAAAATACTACATATTCGTTATAAATATCAACACCAGTGCCCTCCCCATCCTTATCATCACAATCATCCTTGAAGCAGTACGAAATGAGTGCCTTGCTATTGAATGCCATGCTAGATATTGAACAAGAACAAATAATCTCTAGTCCATGGAACACTTTTCTCCACAAAACAATTACAATTTTACAGAATAACATGATCTTTACATTCTGCTGTACTCTAAGTATGAATAAAAAATGGCAGGTTCACAAAATTGTTAAGTAATTTGTTAAGTAATTTGAAAACACAACGAAAATCACCTTCTCCTTCTTCTCCTTTCACTAGAAGTTTGAAAAATGAAAGAAAAAGTAGAAAAATGATCAGTATCTATTAATGAACGTTTCAAAAATAAATATTATAAACCCAATAAATAAATATATATAAGCCATTATCAGCCATGAAGCAGTAATAACAAAATAAATGCTCAATTTATACTTCAAAGAACTTTAAAGTTGTGCAAAGCAACGAAATAGGTTTATTCTTGTATTAATACTAACAATTGGTTAAAACAACAAAAAAAGAATGACAGTACCTAGTACACTGATTCAAAAATATGTATATCTATGTATCCAACTCCTTAATTTGGTGTAAGTGAAGATCATTAATTACATATAAATTACTCTAAATCTTGAAATTATGAGAATTTATAAGAAATGTTGATTCCGTTGGCTACATTGAATTTGACATTTACACAACAAGTTCTTTTTCGTGATACGATCAAGAGATAGAAAAGTAATATGATGAAGAAAAAGAAGAAGAAAAAAAAAGAAGAAAAAAGAAAACAGAAAGAAAGCACAAGCTTATACTGTTATTGGGGTTCAGCATGCACATCAGAAGAGTAATAATATGAATAAAAAAAAACAAGATGAGCTGAAGAATCTCTCTGTACTTTAGCAACAAATAGAGAAAGAGCGAGAGGAAGGGAGGGAAGAAGAAAGGGATGAAGAGAGAGACAGAGAGAGACAGAGAGAGACAGATTGACAAAAAACAATAATTTCAAAGGGAAAATGTAATACTTGTGGCATTATCACACAGGTTAACAAAAATGACAAACATCCAAAAGAATCAAACAGCAAAATAATCAGCTAAACATATAGGAGAATGTTCAAGCAGACTAAAAATATAAAGCTTTAAATTCAGCATGCAAACTAACACAAAAAGCTAATGAAAAATTTCTAAGCAAAAATACATGGCATAGAAAATGGAAAGTCTGTGAAGGCAATGAACACTGAATTTGACTGAATATAGTGTCATATGGAAGTATATGTATCTCACCGTGAGATTGCTCCATTGAGATACTTGTTAAGGAGTCTAGTACAAGTATAAGAAAAATGTTGCTTACAATGTATACCAACTCAGGGGAACTAACTGTAAATCTACTCCAGCATGCATTTATATGTACTATATTTGCTCCCATTTTGATCTATATTTAAGTCATTTTAAAAAGAGCATTTGTACCATTGCTTCTATATTCCAATGGAGAAAAAAAAGGATTGATATAATGATAGTTCCCTGAAAATGAACGGACAGCAATCATCATGTTAAATCAATTCTAGATAATCTCATCTCAAAGATAATCATATGAATGAAGTAAACAACTTAACCATCATCCCTCAAAAAGCATGCCCCCCCCCCAAAAAAAAATAGAAGAAGATCTGATTAGCAGCTGCAATTGTTTTTATTCAGTCAGCAAATGATTTATTCAGCAGATCCAATAGAGAACTGCTACTGATACATGTAACTTGTAAGGCACATATATATACTGTCACTGTCTCCTTCTGTAGAGAAAGGGAAACAAAGGGATAGCAATTCACTGATATCAATGAGAAAGGTGCATGTTTCCAGGTTTCTTAAACATATCTGAGATGCATTTTGCAAAGCCTAAAATTGAGGGCACTGCATCAAAATAGATAATGATGTCTAGATGACAACCTTTGACCTCATGCACTCACCTTTGACCTCTCCCCCAGGTAGTACTTCCACATCAGGGAAGAGTCTCTCAATCCTCGTCTTGGCTTCCTCTGGGTTAGAGCTGCCATGGACAGCGTTCTGCATGACGTCCTTACCCAACAGTGCCCTCAATGACTCCGGAGCATGCTCCCTGGCGTAGTCAGGGTCTGTAGGTCCCATCAGGGTTCTCCAGCCGTCAACAGCATCCTCGCGGGATAACACCATCACCATAGATAGACCACTGCATCATCACATCAGTAAGTGAAAAAGAAATCAGCTATGACATTTGGGAATTACTTCCTTCTCAGACATGTGTAGAATGGAATTTCTCAGTTAAAATCACCAACAGGTAGTCTGATTATTTTCAATATATGTATACTGAAAATGAATACATATGTCATTGTCTATTAAAAAGTACTCAGTGGGCAACAGGCACAGAACTAGGACAATTTAAAGAATACCAAATATTAAAATACAGCTGTGATTGAGGTATACACTCTATTAGAATAAACTATCCATAAGTGATGTATCTACATACAAATTGAGGAAGATGAATATATGGTTGCACAAGACCTAGAACAAGAACCATTAATAATAATAATAATAATAATAATAGGCATTTCTGTAGCGCAGTCTATCTAGATAATTCTATTCCCAGGCGCATTTATTATTACCCCGGCTTTAGCCTAGCTGCCGTTTATACAGCGCTCCAGCATTTCAAGGAATTAATTCCTGCCAGGTACCCATTTACATCACCTGGGTTGAGTGTGGCAAATGTAGATCAATGTCTTGCCAAAGGACATTAGTGCCGCAAACAAAAGGTTCTCTGGATGTCTTCAGTAAGCGTTTGCATGAGTTCTTAAGTCAAAAATCAAATAAGCTAGGTAAATTTTGATGTTTTCATGCTTTAAAGCAGAGAACTTCTTCAAGAAATCTTCAGAAATCACTGGACGTACCTTGACATGTGTTCAATGAGGTTCTCATAGAATTCCTTGCCCTCATGCTCCATGTAGAGCTTAGATGCCAGCTCCTTGTTCAGCTCAACATCTCGCTGAAGACTGATGTTAAATCCTGCCTCTTTGATCTTCTCAATGATGGCCTCTGTAAGGTGTAACAAAAATGTGATACCAGTCAAAACTGAATGCAGCATATACACCACACAACAAAACAAATTTAAACAGATTCACTTACAATTTTAAATGTTTGACTAGAAAATATGGAAACAACTACAATATCTGTCAAGATTTGACTATTGCAAGTACAAAATATTCCAGGGAGAATTCAGAATTTGTTACTTGTCATGTAGCTACAGCCTTGCTACATAACAATTATACACAAACAGCTCCCATCTTGTTGTCAGTACATAGTCATACTTAAAGAATATTAAGTTGACAATTAAGGGAAAAGTAATTATACATCTTTATCTGAGATACAGACATATTCCTCCTGATACGGTATGGGTTAATAAGTCTTCATTGCTAGCTAACACTACAAAAAATATGTCTGCTCAAGATAAACAAATTCTTTATTTTAAAAAAGTGAGAGAAAGGACAAATTTGTTAATAAAAAGACAATCTCACCTTTATGTTCTCCAGCTGCATCAGGTTTAATGACAGCTAATGTGCTCTGTTTGGGGAAGAAGAACCCGAGTTCTTTCTCTGCATTATCTACAGAGTCACTACCATGGACTACATTCACTTGAGTATCTGGGACTGAGTACTGAGCTCGTAAACTGCAATAAAAAACACAGACACCATTTATTAGCATCAATATCACTCTCATTATCATAATAGACTTTGTTATGTTTGTATTCAATTATCATTTGAACAATGCTATATGTGGCTACCGACCTAGCTACACGGAATGTCTTGTACACTGTAATCATGAGGGCACCATATTATTATTGACATTAAAGGGGGTGTAGCATGGCAAATACTGGTTAACGCCATCTACGACTTCTTTTGGACAACTGCACATAAATGAATGGACTTGATTAACGGTCAGCGCGCTATAGCGTTTCCGAAACAGAACAAAGTTCTCCTCCCACTTCAGTTTCACGTATGTGGCACGCACATAAATATATACTGCGGTCCATAGTCGTATTATACCCGATTGGCCCCCAGTCAAGCCACTGGAAAGACACGTAGTCTCATCATGCTACATCAATCTCCTTTAATATCACCTCAATAATCATAGATTTTATGTTATTTTTGTATTATCAGAATAATGCTATATATATATGGCTGCAGATCTAATATGTAGAGTGCATGATTTCACCTTTCAGGAGCTTTCTCCTTGGCTTCATCAATGATGGTAGGTCCAATGAACTCTCTCCAGGATTGAATGGCAGACTCTTTGGCAAGACCTAGAGCAAGAACCTCACCACTGATCACAAACAGAGAGGTACGTATAGAGACATGGAGAAAAGAAACAATAATTAGGTTGCAGAGTGAATCAAACAGGGATGCCATTTGGAATTGATCAGAAGGCATGAAAATCACCTAGAATGAGCTATTTTGTACACAAAAAAAGTTATGGCCTGAAATAAATCGCCAGGGCCTGAATTCAGGCTTTTGCCTGAAAACTGGCATCCCTGATCAAAACAACAACTGTAATAAGAAGTTTCTTTCTTTTATGTTCATGAGCCATCAGTCATTTTCAATCAAAATCATCTTCTATTCTCAGATATCTTTCATTGCATTATTACATGTACATGATACTCATCATACTATGTGGATGTAATATGCACCATTCCCTTCCAAATACTCACATCTTCTACAACAAAAGTTCCCCTTTAGTACACTCATTTCCAGCTAAATTCTCATATATGGTGAATAAAGCAGTCCTACCTTACATCCAACTGGGTGAACACAATTCCAACATAACAATATCTTACTAAAAGATGTTCTTTCTACAGCTGTGCTACATGGATTTTCATGTTTGGTGACATATCCACTAGACCATCCAATCTCTTCTCATTCAATACCAGCTATTTAATTCTTTTTGGATAAATAAAGATACCATATCTCTAAATTACAAGTGAATAAATTTAGATATCTGCAACAGAAGTGGTATACCTTGTCATCTCCCTGATGAGATCTTCAAAGTGTGCGGTACCTTCTTGCTCTTTATAGAAATCTTTAGCTTGTTCCTCTGTTAGCTGAACCATCTTCTGAAGGCATACCTCAAACCCAGCCTCTTGAATCTTCTGCAGCATTTCATCTGTATCATAACAAATGTAATCATCATTATCATTATCGTCGTCGTCATCATTATTATCATCATAATCATCATCTTCATCATCATCTAACAACATCATCATCATCATCATCATCATCATCATCATCATCATCATCATCATCATCATCATCATCATCATCATCATCATCATCATCATCATCATCATCATCATCATCATCATCATCATCATCATCATCATCATCATCATCATCATCATCATCATCATCATCATCATCATCATCTGCTTCCTGTTGTACATAGCACATTGAAACTTCATCTCTATGCACTTCCAAAGTAATTCTGACTTTATCCGGATACTAATTTTTAAAATTCAAAATCATGAAAGCGGACCAAGATATGATGAATGAGTCATAATTCATTCTGTATGATATTCTGTTAATTTTGAAAAGGACTGAAATAGTGAAGTAAAAATACTTGAAAACTGACATCCTAGCATTTTCTCAATCCCTTATAGCGCATATTGCATTGACTATGTCTTCTTACAAAATTCTGACAAAAGCCATCTACATTGTATATGAAAAATACACAGGTTACATTCTTGTTATTTAAATGAATCCCAAAATACTGCTAAAGAGGATATTTCAAATTAGGTTTTCATTTTAAAAGGGAAGAAAGAAAGGAAAGTGTGAAGATGAATGAATTAGAGACTTGATACCTTTATGGTCCTTGAGTGCGCTTGGTCTGATAAGAGCCAAGGTTTTCTCAACGATTGGTGGAGGACCAGTCCCCGGTACAAGGGGAATGTTGAAGTTAGGAAGAAGGAATGCTAGCTCTCTGTAAGGTAACAAATAAATACATTACATAATAAACAGCGAGGTATAATGCAGTGATCAATGATTAGATGATAAATAGTAAGAGAGAAAAAAATGATAAAATAAAACCTTAAGGGGAAAAAAGGCAAAGAGAGGAGGAATGAAAGAGGAGAAAGAGAGAGTGTATCATACAAAAGTAGTGATACAAATAAGCATGATAATAAATAGATTGATTTAACACCTATTCCATAAAATATAAGGATATGATGAGGAAAACTAGAAAAAAATAGTGCAAAAACTAGAAGCAAGAGAACTTAAACAAAGGGAACATTCAAACATTTCACTTCTTCAAAACCATTCTGATTACAGTATGGGTAAAGTAAAAGCTTTTCAGATTTTGTTGTTGACACACGACATACCTTGCAGCTGTTTCTGACGAGTCTGCTCCATGCATCGCATTCATTTTCTTATCTGTACCAAACTGAGCTCGCAAACTTAAAGAGAAGATAGACAAGAAAGACATTTTGTATTAAGCAAAATTTCAATCTTGAGGAAATCGCAATTATTACATTTAAAAATGAATATTGAAGTCTACTCCTTATTTGAATTTGAACATTTAAATTGCTAGTACAAACTACCGGTACAGGAATAAGATTCTAGTAGCCTTATTCCTCTGATTACTCATGATACTTCAAACACATTTTACCTATGCAAATGAAATGTATAGTTTGAAATAATCAAACAAGGGACTTACTAGATATCATCGCTAAGGTCACTGGCTGTAGGTCACTGTCGGCCCACTTACAAAAATCAAATGTAAATCATGCTGATTTCCTAACTAATGTATAATTTTTGATGTACATGTATAGTAACTCAATGACCCATGACCTCTAAAAAGTGAATTACCCTAATCCAAACCATTCATGTTTGCTGTGAAGGCATCCATGCACATCACTATCAAATTGGGATTTCGTTTATTTTATCAATTGCTGATCTTGAGATATTGCTGAAAAGAAAAAGTTGTGTTACTCAAACATAACCAGGGGTGATAGTGAGCACCAAAAAAAAAAAAAAAAAAAAGGGTTTTTAAAAAGGGATTCGGGGGGATGGTATCTAAAACATTCTCCCCCTTTTGAGTAGTAAATAGGGAAAAAAAATCTGGAAAATAGGGGAAAATCAGGAAAATGGGGGAAAATCAGGAAAATGGGGGAAAACTGTGGGTAAAATCCAGGTAAATTGGGAGGGAAAAAAAATGGCATCTAAAACATTCTCCCCTTTTGAGTAAGTAAATAGGGAAAAATCTGGAAAATGAGGGAAAATCAGGAAAAAATAGCTACCTTTCAGGTGCTTGCTCCTTGGCAACTTCAATATCCTTGGGTCCTAGCAGATTCCTGATATCCGACACGACCCCTTCACCCGTGTTACCTCGGGTCAAGACAAGAATTTTGCTAGGACCACTAGCCATGAAGGTGACCAGCTCCTCAAAGTGATCTTCTTCTTGATGCTGTTTGTAGAACTCTCTGGCTTCTTCTTCAGTCAGAGTCTTATCTTCTGTAGCCAGGATCTCAAAACCATGCTCCTCAATCTAGGACAATAGATAATAATAATAATAATAATAGGCATTTCTATAGCGCCGTCTATCTAGAAATTCTATTCCGAGGCGCCATTACAGCGCTCTAGCATTTCAAGGAATTAATTCCTGCCAGGTACCCATTTACCTCACCTGGGTCGAGTGTGGCAAATGAAGATTAATGCCTTGCCAAAGGACATTAGTGCCGTGTCTGGGATCGAACCACGACCTTTGAATTTCAAGTCAAGTGCTTAAACCACTAGACTACGACACTTCTACATAGATATATCAGTGAAGAGTTACCATTATTCTCATCCTTATTACAACCATCACAATTATTATTACAGAATTAAAACTCCCAATTCAACTTCACAAAGAGTAGTAATTTTGTGTTACATGATGAATTTGAAAAAGCTGATGCTATATCCTCAATAAAAAAAAATGAAATAAAACACAAGCACTTGTAGATCCAGGATTTGAAAAAGAGGGGGTGCCCACATAAAATTATACATTCACTATTTGGAAGATGACCCGGCTCCCTCCCCCAATTTACCACTGTATAATTGAAAAAAGAAAAAGAAAATTACAGGGGAAAAGTATTATCGGCTACTACACGTAGCTACTACCCCGTATAAAATATTTTGGCTAAAATCAGCATGTCTATGTTTGGAATAAAGATCCGTAAATGGAAAATCCTGTCGTTCTGAAATTTGTTGTTGTTGTTGTTTACTTGTTTGAATAGACTCTAGAGAATGAATTCACTTCACATGATACAACCATCCAGTAGAAAATTCTTAAAAAAGCAATTACTAACCTTAGCAATGATATCATCCACGTGGCCACTAGCAACAGCGTCCGGTTTGATGAGAACAACTGTGACTTCTTTAGGAAGAGGCTCTGTAGAATGCATTATCACAACAGTATTAAATATAATTTCATACTCACATTTTCTCAAGATTTACACATAAACTATGCCTTTGTCTTTATATTTGGCTAAATATCTAAACATCTTTATTGATACAAGAATATTTACTTTAAAGATACTATGTCCCTTTTGCAGCCAACATCAAATTTTGTAGAACTTTGCAGGAATTATGAATATGTCATATATGTCCTATCTGTGAAATTTAAACGTTAGCAATGTCCTAATATTCAAATTATGAAAGGAAACCCGTTTACTTGCTAGACTTCACTGTCAGACACTATTGAGTGACTGACTGGCTTTTTTCTTCTTTGGTAATAACATACATAAAATGAGCTGTAAACGGTACATGAGCATTTGTCTACATCACCCACTTCTTGTAATGGCCAAAATTAAACTGATTGAATCTTTGCGCAGCATGAAACGTATGACCATTCGGTACAATGGTCTGAAAATCAGACTATTACTTACTGGCTCTATAGCTTTTAAGTCGAATCGACAACTAATAGTCATTATTTTCCCACTTAAGACATTTTCAAGCCCCCCCCCCCCTTTTTTAGGGAAGTTCTAAATTAGTATTATCTTTCAAATGCCGTTGGAATTTAACCTTTTCATTTTTTTAGCCTGCAAATGGGACATAGTACCTTTAATATATTTATCAAATGTGTGGAAAATACCAATCACCATTGAGTGTTTGCAGGAAAAATTTGTGCATAAATTTCATTTTCATAATAACCTTGAAATGAAAAGAAAAACAACATTCTTGCATTTAGTCTGAGAATTTGTTCACTTTGATTCATATATATGAAGATAGTTTGCTTCACAATGACTATTAGGGATTTATTTTTGCTGAATTTTTTGGTAATTTTTTTAAAAGCATAGAGTATATATATAGGTGATATATATGTGCTCACATTTAAATACATGCACAGCTATCAGTTACTACAGAACACTTCATCAATGTACGAAACATAAAACTGCCATTGTATATCAAAGAGTTGTTAATTTCTATTCTAATGGCTGTTAATTTACAGTTAATAAAATTAATACTGTTGTTAGGTTTGATAAGTTGAGTGAGATATAAATATTTGTGCTAAATAAAGATATGAAAAATGGCATAGTGATTTTGAAGTGATGAACATTTAAAAGCAGATTGAAAGCATAATTGCAGAATAGAGAAAGAACGATTGGAAGCATAAAATATGAAGATATTAAGCTGGTTATTTGTTTGGCTTTCCTTGTGCTATATACATAGAAAAACCAGCAAATAAAGTATGAACATTTACAAAAGAGATTGGGTATGGGGTACTTATACAAATAGTATTTCCACTTGCTATAACAGCTATCTAACCATACAGTTCTTAAGTGATGATATCATTAGTTTTTAATAGAGCATAAAGTAAAATATTGGGAATACATGTTTAAATGAACTTCAAAATCATTACTGATATTACTTTGTATTCTCAACATCAATTACTATCTAAAGATAATATATGTGCTACATACAAGTACATGTATTTGATTCACAAGTTGTATATCAATATTCCATGTAACTGTGTGACTTTGTGCAGAACACAGGCACAGTAGATATTTGACATGAATTGTCTGGTGAAAGTTATATATATAATAGCCTATTGACTTTGTGAATCCATTATTGTCACAACATTCAAACTGTGAATAAACAGCTCTAAATCATTCTGAATGATACTCTATACTAAATACACTGAGCTATAAATAATATACATTAAATGCACTGAGTACGTGTTGTTGTTCTTAATATGTGCACTTACTGGATACTGAGTAGTGAATTATAAATGAGCCATAATTTGATTGATATACACTGACATGGATGTGTACTTCAATCTTTACATCACACTTAACTATTAACAACTGACATTGCAACCATCAACCATCATGTAATTTATTCTATGTACTGTGTGATATGTGAAGGGCATGAATGCCCTTGTAGTTGTGAGTTATTTAAGTACCTGTCTAGGTACTCAATGAGTGAGAGGAGGGCATTAAACTGATTGATACAATGCCCTTGTAATTGAATACCTGTCTGTGTACTGAGTGAGTGAGAGAAGGACATTACACTAATTGATATGACGCCCTTATAGTTGAATACCTGTCTTTGATCCATCTTGTCTGTCATGCATCAAGGTGTCTACTGTACCCTGACTTACTGGTCTCACGCTAACCTCTCCTTCATCACCTAATTCTTTTATTTCCTTGACTAGAGACGCAGAGAAAGGTCAGGTTAGTAAATTGGAAAGGACAAAAACTACACTATCAGAATATCTATTCCATTTATGCTCTGACTAACTTATTAGATATCGGACTAAATGAATACTGCTTTGATGCATCTGCTGCATCATATGGTCCATGTAGCCATAATGGGTCAATGCCAAGAAATATGGAAGGATGAAATAACTCCAGACTTCTAGAATCTGGTCAAGGAGAATGCAAGAAGCTGCAATTGAAAGCTGATGAGAAGTTGAAATGGACTGAAAATGAATGATTGTGAAAACTGAATGATGGCACACAGCAAAATATGAAAGAGATTGAGGTATTAGCAAATACCAAGGGAGATTAGCATAGCACAAAGTTACTGAAAGCAGATTTACTGTAAGAAATATGCTAGTTAATGAGGGGGAGAAAGTAAAGTGAATTAATATTGTTATTTGTTACAATAAAGATATCATGACATTATATTCCATGAGTCTACACCAGGAGTGTTTTCATCCATTTAGCTGAATGATCTCTAAGAACTTGATTAATTTCACAGCAAAAGCAATTAATCATTAGAATTATCTTTTTTTTGATAAATATCAGTAAGCAAGAAATTCATTTAAAATGAAAGGCCACCTAATGCTATGAATGTGAGATAACAATCATGTACATGTAACAAACAAGATACATTCAACTGATCATGTTCTTTGAAACATTTAGTAGTCTTAGTTGACATTTTGATAATTAAGGTTGGCCTATGTGATCATATTTTATGTCAACATTCAGACATAGAAAATGAGCAAATTAATGGAAAGAAAGATCAAATGTTAGAAAGCTATGACTCGATCTTTTTTAATCTGAACATGATTGAATGATAGAAGATATGGAGTGAGGTATAATGCCTTGCCTTTCTATCTTCACTCCACAATAGTGAAAGGAATAAGAGATGGAATGATGAATGGAATGAAAGCAGAAATGATACATAGTATGACTTACTCCTTGCATCCTCCTCCTGTTTCTTCTTCTCAACTTCTTCTGCCTGTGCTGCCTGATGTTCTTCAGCCTCAAAGGCTGCTAACAAGGGATCCTTGATCTAAACAAAGATATAGTCACCACATTTAGTTGGACAAATCAAATTGCTATACCAAAGTCACACATGTATACAGACAAAACATTGTAAGTAGCATGGCACCGGATAAACAAAGGGGTAAAAAGTATCATACATTTAAACCTATAAGAGGCCAAGGATCCACTCAGACAGACCCTTCCTACAATTGGTCACTAATGTGCCCTCTCAACTCAATACCCTGATTAAAAGGGTTGGAAACCTTCATCTCAAATAATACATTCAACAGCAGCTTTTCACAAATTTTAACCATTAATATTATTGAATACTTACCACTACTCGTTCTACTCCTTCCTCTAGAACCTTGTGTTCCTGTTTCAGCTCTCGTTCTACGTCCTTGAGGAGTTTAGGAGCGTTGGCCCCCCTCACCACGTTGACCAGTTGACCACTCCCATACATAAGGAACGAAGGCTCACACTTTCCACGGTACCTCTCAAGGCTTTCGATGCTATCTGCTTCAGCCTAAGTAATACCCAAAATATACACATGTATATATCATTAGACTATTTGATGAGAATCAAAGTTTATTCTCTCATTTACAAGTACAAAGAAAACTTCCCCCTTTTCAAGAAAATAATCAAGGTACATAGAAGAATGCCTGCAAAGAATCAACTCTAGACAAATAATACTTTTGTGGCCTGAGAAATCAAACAGCTTGCCAAGGCTTACTTGACAAAGCTCAATATACGCAAGTTAGCAGAGGTTCTGGTTTAAGAATCATTAATGGATTTACCACAATCTAAAACTAATCCATAATTATTATTTAAAAAGAAATGTGCACTCACCACAGCAAATCTGAGCAGATCATCTCCGACCTCATTCCTGAGCCTCTTGAAGAGACTTAGTACTGCAGCACACGGTCCACACCATTTCTGATATACATCAATAACTGAACATAACAAGAACAAAAATACACAAATCATCTTTCTTCATGACAGATAATATAACAAAGCATTCATGATTTTCTGTGATCAAATCAAGATGGTAAAAACACATTCCAGACAGTGCAGACCTTTCTCTCAGTAATCTATTTTTGAATACGATGAGGAAATTGCGGGTCTATTACTAGAGTAAAGGAGCCCGTAATCGGCCAGCTCCCGTTTTCGGCCGATTGGTTGGATACAAGGTAAAATCACTCTAAAATACATCGCATAATAGCATAACACATATCCCACACATACCATACCATGCCAGTGTCACTGAAGAACCACATTTGCAATGGAAAATATATCCTAAAATATCACATTTTAGCGATGTAATCGCCGGTCCCGCTACCCAAATCTGAAAAATCGAGTATCTTACGCGTGTCTGTAAGAAATATGGGTACCATAAAATGAGCTTTATTTCAAGTATTTTTCAGATTTAAAGCCCGATTTTGTGCTAGTCGCAAGCTCAAAAGTATGTCATCGCATGTATTAAATCAATGCAGCCGCACACCGCGACGCACACACGATATCTCTATCTAATTCAGATTCCAACTTCCGATCACCGCTGTGCCCGTCTTCGGCCAGGTGAGCACCAGGGAGCTCCGGCGTGGGATACCTGCTCCGCCCGCTTGTGCTGTACATCAGCGCGGAAACGCACGGCGCGCGCGAGCGCTTCCTATTGACTTTGTACATGCGGCCGTAAACTGAAACGCTCGGCCGATAACGGGCTCCAAAACAGTGAAAATTGAAATGGATATTGTCATGGCAATTCGTGATTTTTTTCTGGGATTCTTTTTTTGTGTAAATAATAATAATATTTGCTTCATGATTTGAACAAGAAATGATAATAAATAGGAAGTAAAGAGTCCTAAAAATAGGATTTTGTCTTAAGTGGCCGAAAACGGGCTACTTTACTCTATTAGTATTAGGCATTTTTGTAAACAAAATTCTTTATTCCTTTCTCAAAGTTCTGAGGATGTTCTTTTATTTCATTGTAAAATCCAAGAATTTAAGGATCACATTCTTTGTTGAGTAAACAAATTACTCCCAGTTTAAATGTAAAAAAGGTCAATACAATTAAACAGAAAAAAGGAGAGCTTTAATAAGCTAAGAAAAAATAATTGAGATCAGACATTTTATCATGATAGGATTTACATGTATTTCCATAGATGTCTATTACCTGTCAGTCCTTCAAGACTCAATAATTCATCCCACATCTCCTGGTTCAGAATCTCCTTCTGGAGAGAAATTGTCTCCTTTTTGGCAGGCATGATGATTTAGCTGCACAGAGTCGCTTTCAAGTCATGCAGTCACTCACCACTGAGACTTTTTTCCCTATAGATTGAAAACAAAAATTGTATTAATTGTTATAAGATTAAGAACACCTTTCACTAAAATTTGGGAATTATCGTTAGCGATAAGAAAAAATATTATTTCGGCGCTAAAAGTAAAACATTGTGCAAGCAAGAATCCTTGGCTTGGGATGTAAAACTTCAAAGGATCCACCTAGAAAGAAAAACTAAAGATTCATTTGACTGGATTTTGGGAAGGGTAGACCTAGAGGTCTAGATCTAGTGAGTGTTTTACCAAGTAATATGGCCATGGCACTCCCGATCAGACTCAGAGTCAGAAATCAAATTTGAAATGTCAATGAACAGCAACCCTCCAGACAGGCAACAGTTCTAACTTTAGATAATAGAGTCTAGATCTAGATCTATTTTCACTTTAAATCTAACATCTGACAAACTCTCTCCCTCTTTACAGGTATTTTATTGAGTCACTATATATACACCTGCACAGAACCTACATAAGTAAGAAAACACACCCGACGGTGCAGTGGCTTGTAATTTTAATAGCGAAGAAGAAAAATATACATCATCACACAATACACAAAAAAACATTAGTGGGACTGTAATATATTCACACATCAACTCACACTCTTTGTACGCGCTCTTTTATTCGTCTTTACAATATATAAACCTTTGGAGATATGATACAAAACAAATATGATTATTTTCAGAGTTTTAAAAATATGAGTGTCAATACAATGATAGAGAATAATGTAATAACTATAATTGTCTTACGTGAATTTAGGTTTCCGGACAACAGAAATATAACTTAGAAGCGTTCGGTTGCCTAGATGATATCACGTGACCAAACGAAAGATCGATTCGATAATTGGGGTTCGAGAAATGTAATTATCATGGCATTATAACATTGGGAAATTCCAGTTCCAAATTTATATATTAATCATACACAAAATTTGAAAATACATTTATTTTTTTCAAATGTCAAAGTCATTTTCGTTTTATTTAATGCCGACAAAATAAGTCTTTTAAATTACATCATAAATTATAGATCTTTCTCCCCTATGTATAATGAACGAATCCAAAGTAAGTTGATCCGTTTCTGATATGGTTCGTATGTATATGCGATGTTGTAGAGGCGACCGACCCAAAAATCTTGAAATCTAGCTAGCTACAGTCGGCTTTTAATTTTTGTTTGTTTTTTTGTTACCTTTTTTTAGATTAAAACAAATATTAAAGCATCAAACTGAGAAATATCTGCCCAAAGCGGGAGAAAAAAAGAAGAAAAAAGGTTTAAAAAGAAAAAACATTTCCGACCGACCGACCCATGTTTTGGCACCTAAACTAAGCTAGGCAAATACAACATCTTTTTGTTAGGCCTCAGCTGTCAGATCAGCTAGCCTGTGCCCACTGAACTGGAATATGTGGCCCGGTCCTGAAATAACAGTTTTTGATATATTCCTGTCCATCATTATTATAATTTTTTTTCTCATTTTGCTTAAATAGTTACCACTTGGAAGGGGGGGGGGGCGGTCCGGTTAATTAACTTGAACAAAATAGTGCTTTTGCCCGGAAAAGTTTCTTTTATAAAGGGCTCTCTATTTCAAATTTTCAATAATCATATCTGATTGATACACGTCTGTAAAAACCCAATACACACACACACACACACACACATTGAGAATCTTTTGTACTTAATAAAACAACTATCATTCTCCCAATGACAATGTCTTGGGCGGTTGCAATTCACACTGACAATATGTTATTTTGCATTTATTGTGTTTGGAGTTCTCAAGTGCAAGACTAGGCGAACTGTAATAAATATGCAAATTAAGAAACATATTCCATATTCCCCCCCCCCCTCCCCACACACCCTCTCTCTGTCTCTCTCACATCTCTCTCTTTCTTCCAGTGTCTCTTTCAATCCCCCTCTACTTGGTCCGGCTAAAGAACCTAGCCCTTCTCTATTCCTTCATAATAGCAATAGCAGTACTTATGTAAGCTCGCTTCTCTGGCTTTGATATAATTAGACTTAACATCCCTGATATAAACCTTGAGCATACAGTTCATTATTGATTACATTTATAGAAAATGAGGCTTTCATATACTTATTACTTCATTGATGTATACTAGTGATACAAAATATAAAAACATGATATGTTAGTATTTTACACACTGATGCTTCCTTGAGATCAAATTTGCCTCCTTTAAAGGCATTTCTGAAATTCCTCCCTTACAATGAAATTGTGAATCAGTCTTTGTCTCGATGCTAAACACAATATTTCAGAAGTGTATCTATAGGGACTTTTTTTGATGAACTAGAAATATTGTATGATTCTACTGAATTACCATAGAAAACTTGTCTACAAGTTAGACCCTATTTTGACACCAAAACAAAATGCAATGGAGACTGGAGTCCCTAGCTTTATCAGTCATTTGTTGTGTCTACCTGTATGTCTTCTTCCAAGAGGGATATATGAAGTTGTTCACTTCTTGAAAAAACAACATATATATTATTGATACAAAATTTAGGATTTTTACCACCGTCTTTAGTTTCCTCCATTTGTTCATATAAAGTCTATAATGGAGGTATGTGAGTGTGTGTGTGTGTGGGGGGGGGGGGGGGGGGGTTGATGATGACTTTTGGTGTATATAGAAGAAAATAAAAGCTGGTTCAACAACAAATTTATGACATTTCAACTTATATTTGATGAGAATATTTAAAATGTAAAAACACAGCATTTCAAGTAGGATGGTTGGTACACACGAATACATGTACATGATTACAGTATCAAACATCATAAAAAGCATACGACCATGCCAGTCACATAGCTCAAATCTCTTGATCATTATTAAAAGAAATATTTGTCACTATTATTGAGGAAAGAATCCTACCTGGGATTTAAAAACCAAGTGTGACTGATAAATATGCATTCACTTTGCACATGTGCATGTGAATGTAGCTTCCTAGGGAGAGGAGATGGTGCACATATTGTGTTCAGACTTGAACTCAAAGTGAACAACATTAAATTCGGATCCAAGCCCGGCACTCATGCCCTTTGGCAAGTTGTTAATCTATACTTACCACTCTCCACCCAGCTATTAAATAGGTACCCGGTAGGATGCGAACGTTAAAGTGACTCGGTAACATTGTTGAAGGTTGATGAAAAAAAATGTGTAATTTTCGCATGAAATGTTACTTATTATATTTCTTCTACTGTACTAACCCTTTAACATGCAAACAATCCTGAAAATAATCTCAAACCACAAAGATATTTATGGTTTTCTTTGAAGGCGTCACTGTGCGACACCCTCTAACAGTAAATTCTCCCAACCATTTTTCCATGAAAATAAGATATAAGACGGGCTTTAAAAAATCTTAACACTTAAATGTCTGGAATGGTATATAGAGCCGATTCATTGCTTTGTGAAGATTTACATTCACCTAAAATGTAATTAAATTGTAATAATATAGTTGGAAGAATTAAGGAATTGATCAGGTCAGTTTTCCCCAATTTGTATCATTAATATGGTCTGTTTTCACTCAAACTTGTACATCCAGCATTAAAGTCACTACCTTATTTGGAATGTGGATACTATTAATAATAATGATGATAACAATAGCAATTAAAAAAACATCTGAGACAACAACAAAAAAATTATGAGCTTTAAACTGAGATGGGAATATATTTCAGCCCAACAAAAAGCTGGGGATGACATTTGACAATGCACAAGTTTGCACATGGAAATGCTTATTCAGTCTAACAAATAATGCAGGGTCTGATCTACAAAGGCTGTAGACTACCTTGTCGATAAGCCCCGTACTCCAGCCGTTCCGCATCCACTGTCAAGTTGGTTTAAGTTTGGCTCAGGTCACAATCACTTTTGATCAAGTATCAAAATAAAGTCTTTGCTTGCAGAGGTATAGCGTAATATAGAAGGCAGCCACAGACTATTATATTTCACAAAACTGCCGAGTTCCAAATAAGAGTATTCAAGACTCCAATGACAGTGTGACAGCACCAACGTTCAGAGTTTCCACATTGTTTTATGAAGTCACTGAAGATGAACTAATCCTCTCTAGTAAATTTGTTCAAATTTTCCTATCACAAAAGCAATGCACTATCGCCCTCTCCTTCCTCGACTTCTTCCTGAAAAGGCTCCTCTGTTGGAGGGCATATGACCCCTCCCTCCTCGGATAGCTTGGTGGGGGAATCCCCCAGGAGGGGGCGTGGGAGGACGTTGATGTTGTTGATCCATATTTCCAGAAGGAGGAACACCACTGTTCCCCATCCTAACACCTATAAAAAAGAAGAAAAAAAGTAAAATAAGGGAAAAAAGACTTGGCAAGAGGGGCCACTGATAATTGTCTGCTTGTGAATACAGAACAAAATCTTAGTGATACAGTAGGCTAGGCCTACATCCTGTTTTTCACATGAATCAAATAGGGAAACTTAATAAAAAAAATGGAGTGAAAATGAACTACAGACATTCGTGATTTCTTCTGTAAGAGAGGTAATATTGGTAATAGCAAAACAAAACAAAATTGGAGCATAAAAACAGAACCAGTAAACATACCTACAATTCTTATAAATCTTGTTGAACCTGTGCTCTGTGAACATATAAAGACACTCATGTATATGACTTACCATTACTTGGCTTATTAGGTGCCTGCTGGGCTAGTCCTTGATTATTTCCTGTAGGCGAGTTGCTTCTACCATCTTGCAAATTCTTAAGAAGAAAAAACAACAAAAAACAGTCAATCTGTTAATTCAAGAAATCATATGTCCAGCATTTACTTCTTGTTTTAAAGGAGAAGTAATCATTTTTTTTTGACAACCTATTTTTATTCTCACAAGAGTACCTGTTTTTGTGAATCAAATAAAAGTGATTGTGAACTGAGTCAACTACTGAAACAATGGTTGTATTTAATAGAGTCATAGAGCAGTCTAGAGCCCTTCCCCCTCCTCCAAGTCAGAGAATTCATTGTGTGTTATGATTGACACACAACCCTAAACTCTATCCCCTTCCTACTTCCATCCGCTATTCCATACCCCCTCCCAAAATCTTCTCTTATGGGAGGCCAAACCTCAATTTTGATTTATAACACACTCCCCCCTACAATTGCCAATTCTCCACTAGACATCCGTATAGCCCTCAAATGTTACATCTTGATGATGACTTTGTAGACTAAAAATTGTGACTCCAGATACAAAATATTATCCCTACTATACTGTAGAGAAAGGTATGTTTCAAAAGTTCTTTCCAAGCTACCCTTAATTGCAACTAAGTAGGCTACGTTTTTCACCTTAAAAAAGAAAAAAATCACAATGAAACATGAAGACTCACTATTTTAGATTGAGCAATGAATTCTGGATTCGGTTCACTCAGGTTGGGGGTCTCTGAGAATATCATACAGTACCTGTCACAAGAATAAGAGATAGCAGGGAGAAAATACGAAAATGAACAATCAAAGCTACTATACGTAAAACATGTATTAAAATTTACATTCTATTAATGATATTTGGATATGATGTTGACTATTGTAAGTGATTTATTTTGCTTTTAAATATTACATTTCTAAAAGTATATCTCACACTTGTTGATTTATAGCTTATTTTGTAAAATCTATATAAACAAATCTTTTATCTTCAATTTCTTTGAGTCCATAGAAATGTTTGCATAATGAAATTTGTAGAAATAAACTTGAATTGAATTGAATTTGTATAAATGCCAAAGGATATTATCATAATGCTTTTTGGTTATGCCTTTCTGAAATTGCTTAATTTTCATTTCTCAGAGATTTTGTTTTAACACGCCAGCAATAAGGTACTCACTCTCCAACTTTTTGAAGTTTTCCAGCC